TTCTTTAGTATTCTTTTTTTTCCTTTTGAAAAAGAAAATACTTATTCTTTTGGAGCACCGAAAATGTGTTCTTTGAGAGAAAACTTTTGGTGCAACAACTGTAGATACATCCATGTTAAAAGAGGAAAAAAAATTTGGACTTAAAATAAATTATAAAAGAAATCATCAATAAAGATAGAATTTTTTTTTTAAAGTAAAAAGGAATGCCGAGTTCAGTACTTCTGTAACACAAAAACTTCCACTCTTTGGGTTTATGGTTTCTATAAGGTTGTTTTTGGGGCGATGGACCCAGAAATAACTTTAATTGAGCGACACATGTACAATATTATACATATTGCAAAGGACACGGCCCTAAAAGAGAGGTTTTTTTAAAGTGATCCGGAACTATTTTCTTAAGGTGGTCCCTTTTCTATTTTTGGAAAAATATGCTTCCCATTTTGCCCCTCACTTTTTTAAAAATTCTATCTCACTCCCTTGTCCTTTGCTATTATTGGAAAGGGACAATGTGGGCCCACTAAAACAAAGCTCCTAAAAGAGCTGGGCCTACATGGGCCACCCTATGAAAAAAAATTCGATTTTATTCACAATGTGACATGTATCTTATTTTTTATTAAATTAACATCTCACCTAATATTAATTAAAATAATTTATTTATTAATAATTTGATAAAAATAAAACACGTGTAAATTGTGAGTGAAAGATGCATCAAAATTTAAGTGCATACGATATGCTAAAGATTTGTTCCATCCTATGATACCATTCCCATGTGCTGCTCTCCACAGCAACGTATGTGTTCTAGTTAAAATCCAATTTTTTTTAAACAAAATACAAAAAAATATTTCTACGCAAATGAGTTATCGATATTTACTTTCAAAACAACGTCGTTTTAGGGTTGAAAGATTGGAAAATTATAAAGATAAAGACTATTATAAACCTAAAAATAAATTAAAATTATAAAAATACCTTAATTTTTGTCCCAAAATAATATCATTTTGGGCTCAATGCAGATAATTTATCTGCATTCACTTCACTGCAGAAAAAATGAACCAACATAATTAAGGCAAATGAAAAATATAAAAATAAGAGATACAAGTACTAAAATGTAACTAAAGTAAGATTCATTTTGTTTACCAAAAAAAAAAAAGAGTAAGATTCATTGCTTCTAATCAGTTTTCTTGTTGTCGATATAAGTAGTCTCACTTTAATTATCAGTTTCCAATGTTGTTGCAGTAAGATCTTAAAGCTAAAATCCCCTGAGTGCCCACACACTCCTGTGATCCTCCCCTTCCCCTTGAGAATGGTCCGAAAGATACTAGTGTCATCTGGAAGCCATCTTCAGAAACTTGATCATGCAATTTCAGCAAGAGACTTGATCGTGCAGTGACACGAAAGAGACTTGATTGTACTGTGAGGAGATTCTGTCTTAACAGGTGCTAGGAGCCACACCACCGGATAAAACAGATCACCACACCAGCACAAAAGGGATCACACTGGCACAAAAGGACACTCTTTGGCTTTGTTTGGGAGTTGGTTTTAGGAGGAGAAGGAAAGGAAAGAGAGGGTTTTAATAAGTCCTTCCCTTGTTAGTGAGTTTAAAAAATTGAGGGGAAGGAATTGGGTATTTTTTCTAAACCTTTCAAAATTCTCATTCTTCTTAAAATTAAAGTTCCCCCAATTTGAGAAGTTTAAGGGGGAAAACATTTAAAATTACTTATTTACCTTTAGCATTAAAATGTGAAAACTAAATAAATGCAAATCATTTTTACATGTGACATTATTAGAAAAGTCTCAAATACCGACAGAATTTATCGACGAAAAATATTTTGTCAAAAATAGTGATGAAATTTTTGATGAAAATCATATATGTCGAAAAATTTCCATCAAAACTAAAGATGAAATTAGAGACGGAATCAGATTTTGCCATAATCACTCACAAAAATATTTTACGGACAAAAAATTCAGTCAAAATTGTTGATAGAATCTAAATTTCGTTGATACTTTCAACAAAAATGTTCTCGTCCAAAATTTTGACGAAACAAATTTCCATAAATTTTTTTTGACATAAAACAATTACGTCAAAATTTTTTACGAAAAACATTGCCATCAAAAATTTTCACAAAAATTTTCGACGAAAAATATTTCCATCAAAACTTCTTACTAAAAATACTTTTGTAAAAAAATTTGACGGATTTTTTTTTGTCAAAATTCTTTACGATATTTAAATTTCATCAAAATATTTTAAAAAAAACATATTCATTGAATTTTTTGACGAAAAGCATTTCCATCAAAATTTTTAACGAAACACATTTCCATCAAAAAAATTTGACGAAAAAAATTTCATCAAAATTCTTTACAGAATTTAAATTCCGTCGAAAATTTTTGACAGAAATATTTTTGACAAAATTTTTGCCAATAAAATTTCTACAATTTATTTCCATCGAAATTTTCAAGTTTTAAATTGCCAAAATTTTTAAGTAAACACATTTCCATCGAAATTTTCGACGGAGAATATTTCCGTCAAGTTTTTTGATAAAAATATTTCCATCAAAATTTTCAACGAAACACATTTTATTCAAAAAAAAATTGACAAAAAATATTTCCGTAAAATTTTTTGACGAAAAGTATTTCGATTAAAATTCTTTACAGAATCTAAATTTCGTCGAAAGTTTCGAATGAAACATTTTTCTCAAAATTTTTGACAAACCAAATTCCGTCGAATTTTTTTGAGAACATATTTTCATCGAAATTTTGAACGAAAAATATTTCATCAAATTTTTTGATGAAATTTTTTGTTCGTTTAAAGCATTTGATGGAAGAAATCATTTTCGTCAAAACTTTTGAAGGAAACAAAAATTTGTCAAAAATTTTGGTAGAAAATTTTTTTTTGGAAAAATTTCCATCAAAGAAAAAATTCCGTCATTTTTCTACGAAAAATATTTTGTGACAAAATTTTATCGTTTGCAACGTAGAAATTTCATAAAAAATATGATCTTTTTTAGTATTATGAAAGGTACATAAATAATTTTGTTATAAATTTTAAATTTAATTTGTAAAATATAATAATTATATTAATTTTTTTAAAAATAAAATGGTAAAAATATCTCATTGATCCTCCATTTTCCTCCCTTACCATTTTTTTAACTCCTAAACATGGTGAGGGAATACCCTCCAATTTTTTTCTTTCCCTTCACCTCCCTTCCAAACTCCCAAACAAATCCTTTTGTATATGCGCTACAAGAGGTATGATCTTGTGTTTTCAAAGAACAATAATGATTCAAAAATTTCAAATTGCAATGATCTTTACGCTTTCATATATTTAATTGTGTCAACACATAGAATCTTAATTAATTATAAAAGTAATTCTTTTTCTTTAAAATAATCAGCAATTTTTTGGGTCTCTATTATTCCTTACTTCTCAGATTATCAGCACACATTTCAATTTTAGAAAACCACTTAAATTTTTAAAAAATAACTTAATTAACCAAATCCATATTAACAATATGACTTAATATTTAATCTGAAACGTAATTCGCATGGCATTTTAAAATATGACTCAATATTTAATCTGAAACATAATTCGCATGGCATTTTAAAATAGGGAAAATTGTTTGTCCTTTTAAATGACATAACTTATATTATTTGACTCTTATAAAAAGGTAAGACCCACACCTGTATTGTTTTTTGTCCACTCTCTCTCTTTTTATCTATCGTTTTCTCTCACTTAAAATGACATAATTTTACATCTTTTAAAATGACACACACTTTTCCTTTTCAAATATGACTCAATATTTAAAATAAACTATATATGTTGTAGTAGCAATACAAAAATCAAACTAAAGAACCTTCCATTACCTTTTTTTTATTTGAAAAAAACTCCAAATATAAGCTATTTTTAGAGTATTACCCTACAGTAAAATTATGACAATTGTGTAAATATGGCATTATGGATTTTTTCAGTGAGATACGAATTTCGCCCTAAAATCATTTCACATCCTTATTCTTCCCTGTGGGAGAACATTTTTAGTATTCTCATCATACTGAGTAATGAATATTTCTCTCATCTAAAATGAAATTACAAATTATGTATTAGAGTTATAATATTAGAATTTTTTTTACTCCTCAGAAAATATATCAGCATTTGGTTCGATTCGAAAATGGTTTGGTTCGGTTCAGAAACGATTCAGTTCTTAAACTGATTCTAAAAACCAGTTTGGTTTATGAATTGATTTTTAAAAAATCGGTTATTTTAAGTGCAGTTCAGTTCGATTCATGATTCGATTCAATTTTTTGATTATTTTATACGCCTGCTAGTAAATCGTTGATCGAACCCAATATTAAACTTTCATTTAGTTTGACTTTGTGGAATACAATATTACTTTTTCCTCTGTTGTACTATGATTTTTTTTATTACAACACCAGCCCACTCAACATCAACCCACTCAACAACAGCCCAATACATACATCAACCCAATATCTGATAAATGGCATAGTGCAACTAATCATGACAGAAACGATGACAGCTCAACTTTGTAATTCTTGTTTAGAGTTTGTTAGGAGGCCACGTGCCACATAACCGCTTCTATTTTTCAGTTGAACCATTTTATTATTGCACATCTGTATTAGAGATATATGTATTAACTTGCTCATATATCAGATTCACAAGTATGTTCTCTCTGATCTTTGATTCTCAAGATGGTATCAGAGCTTAAGCTCTGATATTCTGCTTCGAATGCTTTTCGTTTTCTTTAGATGCTACTTTCAATTTCTTCGTTGTAAAGGAACAACCACCTGTGATGAATCCACCGCATGTGATGAATCAACCCCCGGTGATGAATCAGCCTCCTCAATTAAATCAACCTCCTTTGGTGAGTCAATCTTCTCTTCCTGAGTTCTTGACGAATCCTTCTCATCTTTTTTTCCTGCATGCAAGTGAAAATCCATCTCAAGTGTTGGTTACTCCTCCATTGAATGGATCTAACTATCATGCATGGTGTCGAGCCATGACAATGGCTTTGAAATCCAAAAATAAACTTTGTTTTATTAATGGAAACCTTCATCCACCGTCAATTGATGATTCCACATTTGAAGCGTGGGATCGATGCAATACCATAGTTCTTGGATGGATTCATAGATCCATTACTCAGACTATTGCTCAGTCCATATTATGGATTGAAAAGGCCTCAGATGCATGGCATGATTTAAAGCACAGATTTTCTCAATCAGATGTATTCCGTATATGTGATTTACAAGAGGATTTATATAAGTTGTGCCAAGGAGATAAGAATGTTAGTGAGTATTTCACTCTGTTGAATACAATGTGGGAAGAATTGGAGAACTTGAAGCCAATTCCCAATCCAATAGTTCCATGTGCATGTGGAGCAATAGCAAAAATGCGTGAGTATCGTGAAAAGGATCAGACTGTGAGATTTCTTCGTGGCCTTAATGAGCAGTATTCTCATGTAAGGTCACAGATAATGTTTATAGATCCATTACCGAATGTAGCAAAGGCCTTTTCTCTGGTGATACAACAAGAACGTCAGATGCAATCTGAAAATAATCTGAGTTTCACAAACAATCACCAAACTCTTGCAGCAATGGGAGATCAGTCAAGAAGGAACAATTATTTTAACAATGGAAGAGGCTATAGAGGACGTGGTCGCTACAATGGAGGAAGAGGACAAAGTTTTGCAAAATTCTATACACATTGTAACAAAAATAATCACACTATTGAGTCTTGCTATGTTCTTCATGGATTTCCACCAAGATACATAAACAATGGAGGAAGAGGAGCTATGTCAGCTGCTAATGCAGTCACCAATCTTCAATCTCAAGAAGAAAATGTTATGAAGCAAGATAATTCCTCAATGGCTGCCATTCAAGATCAGTACCAACACATATTGAATTTGTTATAAAAACCTAATGCTGGAGAAACAGTATCTACAAAGCATTCTGCAAATGCTACTATTGTCTCACACACGAACACAGCTTCATCAGGTATAAGCAGTCTTGATTGGGTAATTGACACTGGGGCTACAAACCATATAACCTACCTTTTTTTCAAACTTTTCTTCATTTCACACAATTGATCCCATTACTATATCTCTTCCTAATGGTTCCACCATTAAGGCCACAATTTCAGGCACAGTAATCATTTCACCTTCACTTACTCTTAATGAAGTACTTTTTGTTCTAGAATTTCATATTAACCTTTTGTCCGTTACAAAATTACTAAGTACCATTCCTTGCCTTTTCATCTTAACACTTCTTACTGTCATATCCAACAGAAATACCAAGGCTACCAGATGACGATTGGTTCTGCTAAGAGGAAGGATGGGCTATATTTGATATCCAGTGATACCAGTAACAACCATCATTACAAACCTGATCATTCTCTTTGTAATGCAATACAGAATAAAGAAGCCTCCATGTTGTGGCATCAACGTTTAGGGCACCTTTCAACAGATATTTTACAAGTCATGTCGACTAAATACCCCTTTATTTCCTCTGCTCATATTAGTCCTTGTGAAGTTTGTCATTTGGCTAAACAGCATAAGTCTTCTTTCAATTCTAGTACCACAACAACAGTACAACCATTTCAGTTGATTCATGTTGATATTTGGGGGGCCCATTCTGTTATTTCAATTCATGACACAAGTATTTCCTTACTATTGTCGATGATTTCTCTCAATTTACTTGGCTTTTTCTTATGCAAACCAAGGCAGAAACCCGTAAGAATTTACAGCACTTTATACTGCTTGTTAAGAACCAATTTGATACTCATGTTAAAATAGTGAGATCTAACAATGGCCCTGAATTCATGATGGTTGACTTTTATGCTAAAGAGGGAATACTGCATCAAAGAACTTGTGTCGAAACACCCCAACAGAATGAGGTTGTAGAATGAAAGCACCAGCACATTTTGAATGTTGCACGTGCCTTATTCTTTCAAGCTAAGCTTCCAAGCTCTCTTTGGTGTTATGCCATCACACATGCAGTTCATTTGATAAATTGTATCTGCACACCTAATCTTCAATATAAGTCTCCATATGAACAGTTACACAATGATGTTCCCACATTTATTCATCTCCGAGTGTTTAGATGTCTTACTTAAGCATCAACACTATCAGCTAACCGTACAAAGTTTTCACCGAGAACAAGGAAAGCAGTATTCATGGGTTATAGAAAGGGGACAAAAGGATACTTGTTATATGATCTCAGTTCAAATGAACTTTTTCTCTCAAGAAATGTTGTATTCTATGAGAAGATTCTGCCATTTGCCCATCCTACACCTCCATCTGTGACACACAACCATGACAGAAACTCATTGCCTCCTATACATATTGACACCAATTTTGACCTTTACACCAACTCTGACAGCTCAACTTTGTTTAATACACCAATTCCAAGCTTTACACCCTATACTACAACACCTTCAAACACCAATACTCCACACCATAATCCTATCACAGATGATACACCAATTCAAAGCTTTACACCCTATACTAGAGTACCTTCGAACACCAATACTCAACCCAATAACCCTATCACAGATGCAAATCCTTTACCATCCCAACCTTCAAATCCAATTATCCATCCCAACCTTGATGAGTCACCTACATCAGATGACTCACCTGCACCAGATGAGCCTGACATCCCACCAGTTCGTCGTTCTTCTCGTACAAGTCATCCTCCTCGGTATCTCTAAGATTATCACTATAGCTTATCCTCCAAGCAGCAGAATCATCCATCATCAGGTATCCTTCCCACCTCTTATCCTCGTCATCCTTTATCTCAAGTAATTTCTTATAATTCTTGTCATCCTTCATACAAAATTTTTTGCCTCAATGTTATCATACATATTGAACCTCACACATACAAATAAGCAATTAAAAGTGCAGACTGGAAATTAGCCATGGACAAGGAATTATCTGCTTTAACTCTTAACAACACTTGGACAGTAGTTGATCCCCCTTCTCATAAAAACACCCATTGGATGTAAATAGGTGTACAAGATCAAATACAAGTCTAATGGAGAGATAGAGCGTTATAAAGCCAGATTGGTTGCAAAAGGCTTGACTCAACTTGAAGGTGTGGACTTTCTGGATACCTTCTCACCAGTAGCAAAATTGACATCTCGTTGTGTGCTTCTTGCCATTGCTAAAGCAAAAGGATGACTTTTAGAACAACTAGACGTTGATAATGCATTTCTTCATGGAGACTTGCATGAAGAAGTTTATATGGAAGCCCCACCAGGATTGGCTCTTGACAATCCAAATCAAGTTTGTCGGTTGAATAAATCACTTTATTGCCTCCGTCAGGCAAGTCGACAGTGGTATATCAAGTTATCTTCTGCTCTTATATCACTTGGTTACACACCAACACAAGCAGATCATTCCATGTTCATCCTTTCTCGAGACAGTGAGTTTACAATACTTTTAGTATATGTAGACGATATAGTTCTCTCAGGGAATTCTGCTAGTGAAATTCTCAGAGTCAAACAGTTTCTTCATGAGAAGTTCAGGATCAAAGATTTAGGATCCTTACGGTATTTTCTAGGCCTTGAAGTATCTCGTTCCAAGAATGGTATTCATGTTAACCAGCACAAATATGCTCTGGAAATCCTTTCTGACTCAGGTCTCCTTGCTGCAAAACCATGTGTTAATCCCATGGATCCTTCCACACATCTACGTCGAGATGAAGGCACACCTCTTTCTGATGCTACCTCATACCGTCGTCTAATTGGACGGCTATTATATTTGACCACAACTCAACTTGATAATCCTTTTGTGGTCCAGTAGTTGAGCCAATACATTTCTAATCCCACCACTGTTCATGAAGCAGCTGCCACACGTGTGTTACGTTATCTAAAGGGAGCTCCAGCAGCTGGTTTATTTTTTCCAGCTCATTCAGACATCCATGTTCGTGCCTTTAGTGATTCTGACTGGGGCTCATGCCTTGATACTCGACGTTCAATCACTGGCCTCTGCATCTTCATTGGATCTTCATTGGTACTGTCTCACGCTCATCCTTTGAAGCAGAGTACAGAGCCTTAGCTTCCCTTACCTGTGAACTTCAATGGTTACAACACCTATTTCATGATCTTCATATTCCATGGTCCAAACCGGCATCAGTTTACTACGACAACAAATCAGCCATTTATCTCGCACACATTCCCGCTTTCCATGAACGTTCCAAACACATTGAAACTGATTGCCATGTCACACGGGAAAAGCTTTGCTCAGGTCTCATCCACCTTCTTCCAGTCTCCTCTACTGATCAAGTCGCTGATGTTTTCACCAAACCTTTGTCGTCGAAGTCCTTTGTTCCAGCTATTCACAAGTTGGGCCTATTCAACCTCCATAGTCCCACTTGCGGGGGGTATTACAACACCAGCCCACTCAACAACAGCCCAATACATACATCAACCCAATATCTGATAAATGGCATAGTGCAACTAATCATGACAGAAACGATGACAGCTCAACTTTGTAATTCTTGTTTAGAGTTTGTTAGGAGGCCACGTGCCACATAACCGCTTCTGTTTTTCTGTTGAACCATTTTATTATTGCACATCTGTATTAGAGATATATATATTAACTTGCTCATGTATAGTTAATTCAAGATAATGAATATCATATTCACAAGTATGTTCTCTCTTATCTTTGATTCTCATGATGTTTTTAATGCTTTTGTGGAAGGTACAATCACACATTGATTTCAAGGGTGCATTTTAGACGTTAGTTCTGCGCATGCAAACCTCCATCCGGGATATACCACATGGGGATGCATGAGCATGACACTTGATAGCTCAAGGTCACGTGCGTGCAACCTATTTGAAGGTGAAGCAAGAATTTCCTATCGTAAAACTTAAATTCAATGGAGTCTCGATGAGTCTTCCTTGATTCACTGGATTACTCCACCAAGAAATCAGTTACAACTATTATCATAAATTGAAATTCGATTGGCAACAAAAATGGAAGATATACATCGAGTCAAATATGAATCAAGTAATAAATGAAGATTAGGAAAAGTCGAAATTCTAACTTATCGCATCACTCATCGCTCACAACCATTCTCTCGATTTCATTATTTTTCTTGTATAGTAAGGCAATATTCTAAGGAATATCCTCCATGAAATTAACATAAAATATAAAGTGAAAACTGCAAGAAGGTTGTACTATTTGATATCTTAAGTAGTCATTGTCCTAATTCAACTCTTTTGATGATATATCAATTGTTTCATATTTCTTCACCATTAGTTATTGCGAGAGTACGGCACACTAAAGACACATGGACAGTTGCGATGGTAACAGTTGGTATCCGAACTTCAATGCTCTCTTTTTTTTTTATAACATAACTTCAATGCTCTTTGTTCAGCCACAAATTGTAAAACCCAATGTTGTGGGCAAGATGTGTTAAGACATCTCTGCCATATAATCTTCTCTAATTCATTCAAAGTAAACATCCAGATTTGTCCTTTATCCCCTCTTGCCCTTAAAACTCTTAGAATTTGGTATCTACACACAGATGCAAGAGACAACCAGACTTATGTATTTACAAAAAAAACTTTTCTTTTCTATTCTTGATTTCTTCCTCTTTCTCTTTTTCTCTTGATCTGCATTTCATACAAACTATCAAAGGCTATTTAACATAACTCCACATATAACACCTCATTACTTTATAACTGACATAACTGACTCATTAATATTCTAACTGACATAACTGACTCGTTAATGTCCACTAACACAAACCTAAGGACATGACTCTTCACCAGAAAACTCTTCACATTTCTATTTTCTATTTTCTATTTTTATCTCATTAAAATTTAACCCAACAAAACTCTCCCTTAAATTTTAATTCTTCTTTTTGAATTTTCCACCGGTTGATTTTTTTCGCGCTGCTGCGCTGCTTCCATGTTGCACTCCTTTCTTCAAATTTTTTTTTTTTGTCCGGCGGTTCTTCATTGGTGGAAGATAGACAGTCTTGAATTTTCCTTTGTCGACCTCATCCTCCAATATACTTCCACATCCATTCTTACACGTATGATCTTCACACAAGTCATCATACTGATCAGTATCTGTATCACTATAACGTCCCATTAGTTTTACAACACCTATGCCAATTTTAATACTTTCAGATTCAACATGTGCTACATTAATAGCACGTCGGGCCTCTTTAACCACAGTAACCCCATCACTCATTGAGGACCGTTGATTCCCATCATCAAGCAAATAACTCAATGCAACATTTTTTGATTCCGCCCCACGATCTTCTTCTGGTTTACGCTTGAGCCAAAATGATTCCTCATAAAAGTAACTCTAGGCTCCTCATCGCCGGGTTCCCTATCCACAATCACACTTTCCATTTTTCCGCTCTCAGTTTCTTCATCGTCGGGTTCTTCTTCAACAAGTCCAGCTTCCACGCGCCTCATCGATAGAATCTCAGACCACCGTCCTCCAGGGAAATGGTCTCTTTTCGGTGGTGTCGACATCTTCCACTTCCACCATGAATTCAATGCAGTCTCCGACTTCTGACTTCCAACCCGAACCGCGCCTATGTCGGTCTCCGACATCAACCTCATCACGCCGGGGTCGAGCTCTTCTCCAAAACATGAACTCGGTGATTTTGCCGGGATCTCCCCCATCACGGTTATCAACACGGAACTCGGATTCGCGGTCTCCTCCATGCCGGTCTCCATCAAGCACCTCGGCTTCTCAATCTCCTTTCCGATTTTCGACTCTGTCTCCAGACACTCAGGTTCCACGAAGTCTTCTACCTCGACAACGGACTCGTCGTTCCCGCCCTTCTTCGCTTCGATCTCGGCTCCTTCATTCTCCTCATCTTCTATCTCAGCTCCTTCGTTCTCCTCCTCCTCTATCTCGGCTCCTTCGACCGCAGTCATCTCCATCGTCTTCTTCTCCGAGTCGTCTCTTACGCGTTCTTACACGTCAATCTCCTCCGCGGATGCGTTGCTGTTGGCAACCTCGGATTCCACCATCTCGGTCTCTTCTTCATCCGCATCATTTTCCTCATCTTCATCATCATCATTGAAGATTTCATCTTCTTCATTAATCAGATCAAAACGTCCAGGCAAGTATTTTGTTATGAAGGCCATTAGAAAATCCTTCCACATATTATTAAAGTCGCGGCAGTTCCATGTACGGAACCATTTGATTGCGCTTCCTCTGAGTCTTCTCATGGCTACCTGTCATTTGTCCTCTTCAAATGTTTTTTCTCTCCGAAAATATTCTTTTAAACAAAGTAAGAAGACCAATGCTTCATCTTTATCTCCATAAAAGAGTGGCACTTCCATCTCGTTCTTTTCCTCCATAGCCCAAGCTCTGATACCAATTTGTTAGAATTTGGTATCTACACACAGATGCAAGAGACAACCAGACTTATGTATCTACAAAAAAAACTTTTCTTTTCTATTCTTGCTTTCTTGCTCTTTCTCTTTTTCTCTTGATCTACATTTCATACAAACTATCAAAGGCTATTTATAAGCTATAAAACTGACCAACATAACTCCACACATAACACCTCATTACTTTATAACTGACATAACTGACTCATTAATGTCCACTAACACAAACCTAAGGACATGACTCTTCACCAGAAAACTCTTCACATTTCTATTTTCTATTTTCTATTTTTATCTCATTAAAATTTAACCCAACAAAAACATTGACAAATGTCGATCATATTCATTCTTAAAACTTCACACATTAATCACTGACAACTACTAATGCGGTCCATATTAGTGTTGTTGGAGGTTTATCCAACAAAGTGTTGAATGTTTAAATGGCTTAGAACACAATTAAGAGCTCTTGCTAAGTTGCTTTGGACCGAAATTTGATAATGAGAACAACTAGAGCAAGATATAGAGTTCCACCCACAAGTTATCAAGAGAGTGAATTTAATTTACATTTAACAAAATACATCAAGTAACATCATGCATCAGTAGTATGCTTCTTTTATTATGGGTGAAAGATGTGGATTGGTAGTACTGCCAGTACCACAATAAAGAAGAGAATTACTTCAAGTAGGTGTAGGTCACACTGAAAACATGGACGGTTGTGGTCTGTGGGGATGATTATTAGTATAAAAACTTCATGAGTGTCCATTATTCAGCTACAAAAACACCAACCCAAAGTTGACGGCAAGATGCTATGCCAAGCCATTGAAATGGACACATGACTGACCTCTTTGCCACGTACTCTTGTATTATTAATTTCTTAGGCTTGTGTGATTTGAAACATCACAGTTCACTGTGTCAAGTGATGATGCTAAAAAGAAATACTGTGTGAGGTTTGAAGTCCTTTATTTGATTGATTAACTATAGCAACCCATCCAGTGAAAGGATCGATTTTCATTTCTTTTGTCTTATGTGTCAGAAAAAGCAAAGATAAAAACCTTTCCTTTTTTCTTTTTTTTTTGGATAAGAAAAACCCTTCCTTTGTTACACTATGAACCCCAGCTGCAGCAAGATGAAAACAGTTTCTCTTGTCCACAAAGCAGCAGAACTGGCAAATAGAACACTAGTTTTTGATTTTGAGGGTACTCTGTTACGATCCACTTCATTATTCCCTTACTTTATGCTGGTTGCTTTTGAAGCTGGTGGGCTACTAAGATCTTTCATCTTGTTTCTTTCATACCCTTTGGTGTGGTTGGTTGGTGAAGAACATCTGGGCTTGAAGATTATGGTTTTCTTGTGCTTTTTCGGTATAAAAAAGGACACATTCAGAATAGGATTAGCTGTTCTGCCAAAGTTTTTCTTAGGAGATGTTGGGTGGGAAGGCTTTGAAGCTGTAATGTGTTATGAGAGAAAAGTGGCATCCAGTAAGTTACCAAGGATCATGGTTGAAGGTTTCCTCAAGGACTATATAGGGGTTGAGACTGTTGCAGCAAGAGACTTGAAGTCCTTTAGGGGGTACTTTATGGGATTGTTTGAAAAGAATAAGTCAAATAATACCCCTTCATATGAAAATTACCATAAGGAGCTTTTCCACCATTTCAAGGTTTGGTCATTTTTATGTTTTTACACACTGCCGACTCATTTTTAGGCCAGTTCCCTTCATATGGATTTTTGATTAAAAAAAAAAATGTATTATTTTTAGAAGGATTTTTTTTTCATAAGCTGGAGTTATGTGTTTGGATGTAGCATTTTAAAATCATTTTTAGTAAAAAATAATATCTTAGCTTTTCATTTAAAAGTCAAGAATATTGGCTTAAAAAAGTATTTTAACTCCTTTTTTAAGTTGGCATTCAAAAAAAAAAAATAACTTTGTTTACAGTCAAACAGCCTTGAGATATTGCTAAAGAAAATATATACATAATCATTAAAGTGATCTTCCAGTACTATTTTGAACTTTAAGATGAGATAGTTGTGACTATTTGTAATAGAATTAAATTAAGTCCGCATAAAATAAAATAAACGTGTGCAATATGAATGCTTCACGCCCAAAGGCTCAATGAGAGACTGTGTTGTGCTAGAGAAATTATATATAAAACCGGGTTCTGTGTTTTCACATCCAAGAGTCTAGTATAATCTAAACAGCTCTGTTTTTTTAACTCTCTTTTTTCTGTAGGAGGTTTACTTGATGAGCTCTGATGAGAGAAGAAATTGGCGTGTCCTTCCAAGGGAGAGGTACCCGAAGCCATTGATCTTCCATGATGGTAGATTGGCTTTCAGACCAACCCCTGCATCTTCTCTAGCTTTCTTCATGTGGTTACCCCTTGCACTATTTCTTTCCATTTTCAGAATTACATTTGGCGTTTCATTACCCTTCAATGTGTCTGCTCCAATATTAGCACTCTCAGGGACAAGAACCACTGCTTCAGGACCCCATAACTCTTTGTCTTTGGTCCAGAATGAAGAAAAGGAAAAGGGCATGCTCTATGTGTGCAATCACAGAACCTTGCTTGACCCACTTTATATTGCATACGTTTTGGACAAACCACTATCTGCTGTCACATACAGCTTGAGTAGATTAAATGAACTTGTTTCCCCTATCAGAACTGTACGTCTAACCAGAGACAGAGAGAAAGACAGAGAAGCAATGGAGAAACTATTGAACCTAGGCAGCCTTGTGGTCTGTCCTGAGGGAACAACTTGCAGGGAACCTTATTTGTTAAGGTTTAGTCCTTTGTTTGCTGAACTTACTGATGATATTGTTCCTGTTGCTGTGGATGTTAATGTTAGCATGTTCTATGGAACAACAGCTAGTGGGCATAAATGGTTGGACCCCTTTTTTCACCTCATGAACCCAAATCCCACATACTTCATTAAAGTTCTCCCGAGGTTACCACAATCTCAAACATGTCAGGGTGGTGGAAAATCCAGTATTGAAGTTGCTAATTTGGTGCAAAATGAGATATGCAATGCTTTAGGGTTTGCATGCACCAACTTGACAAGGAAAGACAAGTATACGCTCTTGGCGGGTAATGAGGGTGTGAGCCCACGCCATAACAGCCCGTAGCTACTAGCTTTTGTGTGTTACACCTTGAATGCTCCTTGCTATTTCGTTTGGAATAAAGTGAAGAAGATTCCTCATTGGAATAGTGTTACAGGGAGGACTTTTAACATGCTCGAGTTTTTTTTTCTTTTTTGTAAGTAAGTTTTAATGCTTTTATAGTGCCACACTTGTAATATTATTAGTTATATATAAAATCCTTTTAATAAAATTATGTTCAAAGTGAAATTGTCTCTAAAGTGGCTAAATAAAGTTATGTACAGTTTTTCTTTTCTTATCTCTTACGCATCCAAATCATTATCTGACATGTCTAAGAATATTTGTAATGATAAATGCATTGTTTATCACAGTTGCTACAATATTGCAAGTGTCGAATATTATAATTTGAATGCATGTTATTCGCTGTGCTTAAGTAAGACTTACTTAAGGACGGTTAATTATTTATGAGTTAAAATCACAATGCACACTAAATTAAACAAAAGATAAATACACACTTGGATTATAACAATAATTTCCTAATAAGTTATAACTATATGTTGAACAAATCAAAAATATAAAAAGATGAGATCCACAATCCATTATACTATTTTGTTTTTCTCTATTTATAAAATTTAGGGAAAAGTTTAAAATTTTCCTGTAATTTAATCTTTTATCGGTCATCCCATATGTTTGTTCTTTTTAATCACTTGACCCTCTAGGGCAGAGTACCTCCTCTAAAGTGGCAAATTATCAACATGGAGGGGATTCCAATGCTGATGATTATTATTTTTCTAGGACAGAATACTCATCTAAGGTGGTTTTAGATACAATTTAAAGGAAATAGTATCAATAATGAACTATACAAAATTCAGTCAAATGTTAATATCAATGAACTATTGATCATAGGCACAAAATAGCTAAATACTGTAATAAAATAACCCTATTCTAAGTTGAAATAATATAATTCAAACTAAGATAAAATTTATTACAATTAATAATAAATAATTTCAAATCAAAAATCCTAAAATCAATTTCCCAACATTTGAGGATTTGCAAATGTTGTCTTCATTATCTCATTTTTCGTAGTGCAAGCAAGCTGGAGATTATATTCTAAAATTTTTGCCTGCTTGTTAATATTGACAGGATATAGCTTTAATGAAATGGAGGATTTAGAAATAAAGTATTTGAACTAAATATTATACTTGTTGTTATCAAAAAAAAATATATATATTATACTTGTATAAAGATAGGCTTTAATGTTTCTACAGTAGATAAATTATCTACATTCGTTTCCAAAATGATGTCGTTTTAAATTAAAAATTTAAAAATTATAATGAAAAGACTATTATAACCCTAAAACAAATTATAATTACAAAAATACCTTGATTTTCGTCTCAAAACGACGTCGTTTTGAACTCAATGTAGATAAATTATCTATATTGAATGTAGATAAATTATCTACATTGAATGTAGATAATATCTACATTGACAGTAGAAAAAACGAATCCATAAACATATCCTCTCTTTTTCGGTAAACGTATAAACATATCCTTATATTCCTGCCATATTCTCATATGAATAATCAAATAACACTTTTACCGGCAAGAATTTTTTCTGAATGATTCAAATAATAGACATACCTCACGTAATTTGTACAAATATATTTTTCCATTTGATTTTCATACTCCCTTGCAGTCCTTCATTTTTCACCCACGTTACTAAGAAAATTGAAGCGTACAAACATACATAAGTTATTTAACTCACCTTAAATTGCATTTGTCCAGCTGTATATAAACTTTCAAAGATGCAAAAAAAATTTATGGACCACTTTAATTATTTGTTCGTGGAACATCCCTGTAGTCTCCGTTTAGTTGGGTTTTTGTCAAGACCAATTATGTTCGATATATGTGACCTCCAACTATCCCAGTCCTTTCTTTCACACAACTTAAAAGACATGAGAACTTAATGTGGTCCATTTTTATCAAAAGACAGGCTAAGGAGTACCAGAAACTAACCTCTAAGTTGGAACTTCTTAATCCACTTTACCAGCTCTTTTTTTCTCTTTTTTTGGTGAAAACTTTACCAGCCTTTTAATTAGATGAATAGACTATCATGATGATGCACAAATCTTAATAATGCTTACTTATAAGTGCAGAGAATCATAAATCCATTTGAGTTAAGCGGTTGATTGATCATTCTAAGTCAAAAAAACAAATTTACTGAAATAATATTTTTATAAAGGATATGATATTGTGACTACTTTTTTTTATACCTATTCTATCTACTTATACCTAACATTGTTAGATCAAAATTTCAACTAACATTTACCCTTTGTCTCTCCTTTTAAGATTATGATCTAATAGTGTTAAAAAATAAGTAAGACGTGAAAAAAAATTAGACATAATATCCGATCCTTTTTTATAAACTTATTTATCTAACACATGACAGTTATTGCATAGTCAAGGAGAGACAATAGTCCTTAAAAAAGAAAAAGAAAATTACATTAAATTAAATGGTACATGGCACCACCTTATAGAGTGAAGAATTTTCAATATCACGTCATAGGTACAACCGACCAATAGGAGTGTGCCGCGCTTGTGCTCCATCGGAGAGAAAAAAAAAAACTATTTTTGTATTTTATGCTATGTCTTATCAAAATACACTATCACACTTAATTTTCAATAGCAGTGGTACCCAAAAAAAACATTTCCTTATAGAGGCGTGATTCAACTTAGCAGCTTACAAAATGCTGAGTGAACTAACACCTCTATAAGATTAAAAAACATCTTAATTTCACATTTTTTCCTCTTATAAATATCTCTCACTCTCTTCCTACACTTACCCGGCAATTACTTTATTCATCTTAAATCATTAGCTTGACAACATGAATCATCTATGCAGTGGTGCAAAAATATAAAATGCTAGAGTTGGCATTACTCCCTAATCCCACAAGTCTAGCGTTTAAATCCGGAGTAAATTCGATGGACCATTATAAGTTGGCACTAGACATAGAGTACAGAGAGTGAAAATAAATCCTCTCATGTCTAATTTTAATGTGATCATGTCATATTAATCTAATCTATTCATTAATAAATCATGGTTGGCAATTAATTTGAACATTTTCTTTTTATATTTTACGAGTTTTATTATTAAATTTAAAAATATTAATCTGTTTTTGAAAGACTGAAATTCATCACATTGATATGATTATCTTATATTAGAAATGAGAGAATTCATCCTAAAGGACCTAGAAATAAGAATAAATTTTCCTCGGACCTTTTAGCCTATATCATGTTATTTTAATAGGGATGTATGAAATTGACAGAAAAGTCAACATATGGTATTGGCTACTTAAATGCTCATTCTTCCTATAGAAATTAATTAGTATGATTATAGGTGTCATATTAACAAAAATTCGATAAACACACTAGCAGTTCAAACCCCAGTCGTAAGGCTGATATATCACCTTCAACTCAGAAGTTGCAAGCAGGTCGAACAATAATTCCGAGTCAGCTGGATCTAAGTAGATTGACACATGCTTCAGTACCTCTGCCTCATTCTTGCCAAAATCTGCACTAAACCTGAGTATCAAGAAGGAGAAATGTCAGAATCCCCAAAACATTGATTGCACCTCTGCTCGTTATCAACTATTTCATTTAATGACCATACATAATCACAACAGTGAACGTATGTACATATATTCAAGTTTAACATGAATTATACTGAATATCAAAACAGATTTTCACCAAGATATAGTGCATTTGCATATATGTATGATATTTATAGTTTGAATGTATTTAGTTCAAGGGATACTGCCCGCCAGTCCAAAACTTCAAATATAAAAACTTAAAATCCTTTGAACCATTCAGCTGAGCATAGAATTTGAGAGGTCCATCTTCTCGTCGTGAGAGAATGTGCTTGTGAACATGAATATTCCACGAATTCTTAGTCTGAATACACCTAAAAGCACATCAATCATATTCAGTCTCTCTTAAGAACTTACCATTTAAGGATCTTACTGGCATATGCAACCTTTGCAGTAAAATCAATTAAAACGCCTCCACTTCTTAAAAAATTACGTGCTGCATCCATTAATTCTTTGTCAATGTCGCCAGGAGAATAGCACCGAAGTGCAGGCCCCGATCGAGTACCACATACTAAAGCAAAATGAATAAGAGGCTCAGGGAAAGGGAATGCCACCTAGCAAAAAAGGAATAAAAGTGAACATCAAGTCAGTAGCTTTGCTAATGAGGCAACTTCAATGTGAAATCATATAGGCCAAACACCATAAGAATTAAGATAAATCTTTGCTTACCTCTCTCATAAACCTACAAATAAATAACCTCCCAAAAACTGATGATACACTCACTCAAGACCATGATTATTCGAATTAAAACAAAGGTAAAACACTAAGTGATGTTGGAGAAGATGGTAGACAGGAACTAAAGTGATAAAATTTGGTAAGAGAAGAAGGACGATTGAAGTGAAACGATAAGAAGGGGTTATAGGGTTTAAGAATATCTTAATTCTGAAATAGTAACATGACGGCTCAATGATGCTGAATAGAAGTCCCTAGGATTATTTATACTAGAGTTATAAGCATATTACTAAGCTCAATATTTCAATGCCCAGATGATCTGAAGTCTAAGCCTCATTAAAAAGTCACATGTTTGTCATGCGACCATTTAATACATAGAAAAACACTTTAAAGTAAAAATTAAATAGAGCTACTGCATCGCTAAGTCACTAAAATTGCAATTAAATATCGAGTAAAAATGAATCTACTTTATAAAGGAGTTGTCAAGAGAAAAGGAAATATTCAAATTTAAAGAATAAAGAGCATAAACTTTGAAGAGCCTTTTGTGTTATTGCTTAAACAAAGGTCATTTGTCAGTAAGACGCAAATCTAACACCAAGGGGATGCAAGCAACGCTTAGTCATACATGAACTTCTCTTTCAAGATTGAATGAATAAAGAATATGGATAACTTACCATCGAACGTTTATCTTTTGCACCAAATGGCTTCATAAGGGTATATGGTGGTCGCTGGTTCCCCCTCAAAATGCCATTCTGAATAGCTGAAAGTGAGTAGGTAGACCCACCAATCACATATTTGAAGTCCCCAAACAATTTCCTTCTTTCCAATGCGCCAGTTGGATGACCCCATACTAAGATTGCATGGATGGTCATCATATTATATAGATTAATAAAGAAAGCTAGCTTCTCTTCTCTAGACAATTCCCATACTTCCACTCTTTGGAGCTCTTCTACAATTCTTAGATACCTAAAAACGATAGTTGTATAAATAACAGTAAAAAAATTCTAGGAATAACTAAATGGATTGTCATCATGGCACAGCACTTCTGAGTTTTTAAAGCAAGGCAAAAGACGGAGAATGTTAAAGAAACCTTGCAAACTCCTCACTTCCATGCATACTTCTGTAATCAACATGACGTCCATCTTCAGAGGCATAGGCTTCAAACATTGCATAGGACAAAAACCTCAGCCTTGACGCAATTTCTGTTATAGGCTTGGGTTTCACAGTAATTATCCCCCTCGGAATGTTGTGACACTGAGATGCCACAATTGGATCATCATCCAAAAACCGATACAAGTGACTACCATCCTCAAATATATTCTCCCTAAAGCAAAACAAAATCATTGAAAACAGGTAAGGATAGTCAATTCTGCAACAAAACATAATTAAAACAATAGCCAGTGAAAACACCAAATAGAGTGCTTGGACTCACTCTAGAGCATGCTGAAAGAAGAGTTTGCTAGAGAGCTTTCGTGCAAACTCAACAGCCTATACAATCAGACAAGAATTAGGAGGATAGAAGAGATATTATAAAGCTAGAAATTGTACTATATTTTAGTTGGATATGCAGAGGATGATATGTTTGACCATGTGATTGCAAATGTCGCAAGACCAAAATTTCAAAAACAAATAGGTGTGCCAGAAAAAGCTTTTTATTGGGATACATGCGACAACTATTAAAAGGGAAAATCGTTAATAGGATTGACCTAAAACATAATGCGTTTGCAATTGTAACTTACATATTGTAGAGATATGGCAATTGAATTACAACTTTTATGCAGACATTATATCCATTTTATCATTATCACTAGATTTCATTAGTGTCAATAAATTCACCCCAATAGTATGTTCAATTTTAAGTAAATATTACTGTAGAAGATCATGCACAGAAATGCATTATGGACTATAGAGATTAAGTGCTTCACTGCTTCAGTTAATTTTTACAACAAAGCAATATCACCAAAGCACAGACTCGGTGGATAAATTATCCTGGTTTGTTACGTTAAAATATTCTCTCTCCTTCCAGTCACAACGTGGTATGAAGGAACGTATTCCAAAGTACGCCACCAAGGTATATGAGCAAATTTCAAGAAAATAACTGTTTTTGGAAGTTTGTCCTTTTCTTTTTTGGGTAAAAGGTGAGATGCTAGTCTAATTCAAACTCGAAAATGTCATATTTAAATCACAAAAATCACAGTTGCAGAAATCAATGTTGAGAGCCAATGCTGCAACCTGAAGGACAAAACACCTAAAAAGAACAAGCCATATAATAGAACAGAATCAACATGTGCAATAGGATAGTTTCCACAAAGAAAGCAAAGTACCATTTAAAACCAACCAAGTCATGCCATCAAATTATACATCTTATAAACTTGACATAGAAAGTAAACCCAGAGATGGGTAAGCATGCAATTTGTCTTTTAAATGACGAAATAGGTAAATAATTGTGGGGGGGGGGGGGCAAAAAAACAGATGAAGGACTAGAAACAATCCAGACAGAAGGCCATTTCCTGATAATATATAACATCTTTGAAACAAAAGCTACCAGATACTAAACGGTATACTAATAAAGACATTAATAACAGGAACTACAGTCCCACTAACACGCACCTACAAGTTAAATTAACAAATTATACTAAACCAAGGTCATGGTATTTTCTGTGATTAACAAGAAATGAAGAGCAATTAGATTCTCAAACACTTATAGCATTCAACTTAATAATAAACTTTAAATTACGAGACATAACAGAAAAGGACCAGCTTTCTAGAGCGTTAATTGTATCACTATTCTTGTTTGGGACAACCAAATTATATCTATTCAATAATTGATTACACCTGAGTGTTCATACATAGGTTTTTAAAGGGCACTAAACCATTCTTGAAACTTAAGATCAAGCTTACCTCTTTCCTTTCCAAATATTGATCTTCTGATAAGAAGTCTACAGCTTCGGAGCCAAGAAAGCAGCAAGTGAACCTTCGCATTTTGCCGAATCGGTCTTTCACAACAATAGATTCTTTCATTTTGCGGACAATTAGAGCCATTTCATCTAGTGCACCACTACTGGACACATCATCCTCTCCAGAAAGTGGTGGAAATGGGCTTTCGAATGATGGTGCTTCAGTAATAAGGAAGTCAATCTTCTCATCAAGCTTGCCAGACTCATCTAAGGTCTTCAGCTCACTCAAACCTCCAATAAGTATTTCATTGAAAAAAACCTTGGGAACAGAAGAAGATCCAGAATTCTTCTCTAGCTCCATCTTTCTACTGGGGTACACATCAATGTTGATTTCAACATATCTAAGCCTTTTCATATACAAAAATTGCCTAACCTCTTTACATTCTAGGCACCCTAGTCTTGTGTACAGTATAATTCTTCCCTTCATGGCTATGGGTTGCAGCGGACCTTCAGTTACCGATTCCTCCTTCTGATCAGTTTTATTTTCTGCATCAACGTCAGAAGACATTTTAATATAATTTAAGGGGTTCCAAGTCATTTTCTCCCCTGTCTTCTCAGAAACCTCCGTGGATTCACTGTCTCTTGATAAATCTGAAACTTCCTTACCCCCATCATCAGAATTACCCGCAGCACTTTCATCACTTTTTCCAGAAAGGCGACGCAGCAAAGTGCAGACTGCTACTACACTTTTCTCCCTAACAAAGTTTTTAAGAGATACTGCCTTCTCAAACACATGTGGCGTCTCTGGAACGGCGTCCAAAGTATGGGTAGATGTGCTCTGACTATCTTCCACCTGAGGCGTCCCCGTTCCATCAAATACAGTATCCAAATTATTGTCCTCATTTGAAGTGTTATCGGTCTCTCGATTCATTTGTGTTGATTCCATGCTTCTCCTGTCATCATTCTCTTTAGCAAAGTCATTATGTCCAACACTATTATCTATATTTACTTCTTGACTTTTAGGCTCAAAATCTCCACGGCCGTCCAGCTTAATATCAGAATACTCCTGTTCAACAATATTGACTTGAGTTTCAGATTCCATGGAATTACTCTCATGCACCTTTTGAAACAAGTCACCAGGAACATCATTACTAATGATCTCCAAATTTTCTTGTTGAGGTTCACACTGGAAATCCCTACTGTCATCTATCCTCTGAGCCAACCCAGATTCTCCAGCTACATTGTCTCTCATTTCCTCATCAGTATTCGACTTTACATCTACAGCCTCATTTATCTTTTCTGATGTATTATCATCTTGTTGCCGATCCCAACCAGATTGGGATGAAGTTGACGTTGATCTATTACTAGTACTATTATCTTGCTCATCGTCAGACTCGGGGCCATCATGGCCAATATCTTGAATTTTTGCATCCGTTGATTCTTTTTCGCTATCTTCACTCTGAACAGCAAAAACATCTACTTCCATCTTTTCAACAGCTTGAGAACTTATCTTGTCCGATATATCATCTTGTTCACTGTCAAACTCAGGGCCATCATGGCTAATATTTTGAGCTTCCTCCTCCTTTGGTTGTTTGTCCCCATCTTCATTCTGAACCATAAAAGCATCTCCTTCAAGCTTTTCAACAGCATGAGGACTTGCCTCATTTGTCTCCACCGGCTCTTTCTTTTCCATGGTGAATGCAGCCTAGAGGTCGTATGCTATTTCATGCAGCCAATTATCACATTTTCCGTATGTTACAATCTAACCTAAGTACTGCAAGAAATTCAGGCACCATATAAATTAATAACATTGCTGTCTTCCAATTAACACCGATGTTGAGAGCGTCAAAGGATAACCAAAAGCATACTCTAGATGAGTACAAATACCAAACCCTGATCCCTGACACTTAGCAGCATTAAGAGACAGAAAGTTATAATCAGTAGTAAGTTAATCATGAAAGTTACTGCAAAAGTAACAAAAAATCCCATTACCACAGCAACAAATGGCCTTCTAAAATTGGTTTCGCAATTAGCATTCTTAATTAAGTCGTGCAGATCCATTTTTGTCTATGACATAACTACAAAGAATTAGAAAATTCCAATTCATTCCAAATGTAATGATTATATAGGCGTTAAGAAACAACTACGCATTATAACAGAACCAGGAGTTATGCAAAAAATAATAGCCTAATTTTATAAGGTTCGACATGAGAACTCAGGAATCCAGGTTTCTGACAATTAAACAGATAACAAAATGCCAAACAGTTTATATATATATATATATATATATATATATATATATAAAGGAATGCAATCTGAATTGGCGAGAGCAGGTGAATCAACCGTCCGATACAGAAAAGGGGGGGAAATAAAAATGGAGAAATGAGGGGGGCAGAACTTACAGATCCGATGGGGATTGGCGCAGAAACGAAGGGAAAATATGATTATAGGAAGAATGGAAAGGGAGTTAGGTTTGCGTGGGAGGTATAAGGTTTGAGTAAAAAGTTGAATATTGCAGATTGAAGGTTGAGATGAAAGTTGAACGGGACGGAACGTTGGGGACATGACTTACAGATTCAGACAGGAGCAGCGACAGAAGCGGGAATTATGTGGGCCAAAAATTCAATTCGTACCAAAAAGAATTTCAACTTATGCTTTAGGCCCCACCCCAATTACGTGCACTTCCTTATCTCACACAAAAAATTAAAAATTGGTTCATTTTCAAATTGTAGACAACTCCATTTGGCATTTGCTTTTATTATATAGGGCAAAAGAATATGTAACCTTGCGAAATTTGACCTTTAATAAATTGAGGCTTTAATGTTTCTAAGGAAATATAGATAAATTATTTATATTTATTTTCAAAATGATGTCAGTTTAGGTTAAAAAAATTAAAAAATATAATGAAAATGATTATTATAAGCCTGAAATAAATTATAATTACAAAAATATCTTGATTTTTCGTCTTAAAACGATGTCATTTTGGACTCAATGTAAATAAGTTATCTACATTAACAGTATAAAAAGCAAACCCATAAATTAATACGGTAAATTTTAAAATATTTTAATTGAACTATAAATTAATTATTCTATCGGTAGGTGCTTCTATTAAGTTATTAACAAGGTTTTAAGGGGTCAAATCTTAACCTTTCATCTAGTGATATTTACATCGTCCATTAAAATATTTATTAAATTATTGATTTTGAATCTATCTTATTCCTTAATAAATAAAATGAAAAAATAAACAAATAAGTTTGGGGATTCTATTTATGATATTTACAATAAAAAATAAGGTCCTCTTTATTTATTATTAGTATTTTTTTAAAAAAACTTGGTTGATAACAGTATATTTTGTAAGATTGATTCTAAAAACAATTTTAGTTTTTAGTTTTTTTTTTCGGTAAACAGTTTTTAGTTTTTAATACTTAAAGTAAAAAACATTGTTGGATTAATTTTATTTTGGGATCCATTTCGTTTGTTAAAAAATAAAGAACACATTAAAAAATAGTATAAGTACTTGACAAAAACAAATCAAAGAATAACTTGATTGCATGTGTATAAAATCTTTAAATTTTTATTATTCACTAAATAAAATTACAAAATTTTATCCTCAAAATATGAAGAAAAAAATTCAATAATCCAGACATCATCATTATTTCAACTTTATTATATGTAAAAGAAGTGTTGTATAAGAGTTATCTTGTAGAAAAAGTGTTTGTGTAATGTTATAGAGATTCGTTTTGCGTGTCGTAATTTTTTTTTTCTTCAAAAAATGTGAGTCCCACAAAATATTATGTGTGTATAAACGTTTGTTATGTCATGTTAAATGACAAATGCAAACCCCGTAAAAAAATCACAATATAAAAGATATTATAATAAATTTCTTTATTTTATATATCTCATGAAAATACAAAAATGTTCTGACTCAACTTCTTGGTGTCTTTTCAAACTTTCTGTTTCCAAAACAATGTCGAAAGGATGTTTTAATTAATGACAATCGTGTAATTATGGGACAATAAAATAAATAAATAAATAAAAATTGTTAAATAATGATAGCTCAATTAGTGTCAGGTAAGTGTTCAATCCTTAATACCGGATTTAAAATTTTAATCTTTGAATCGGCTCTAAATCAGATTAATACAATAAATCGATTGAGATATTTAAAAAATAAAATAAAAAAATGAACGCGAAGCATGATCATCAGATGTTCTGTGTAGAGTTCGTGAGGGACCAAAAAAGGTTGTGAATTCACCGAGTTGTTTGTGCTTGTGTCACCGTCGAAATCTATTTCCGATGCAAGTGTAGGTTGTAACACCCCGTGTATACCCGGTAATGTTATCATGTCATCGTATTAAGCTACGCTTAATTAAAATGCGGAATATTCTTTTTCTTTTCAATTATGACGTCGTTGCACTTAGCCAAGATGATTACTTAAACATATTTCATAAAACATCGCCTGAATGTAAATTGCAATAAGACATCTACTAAAATACCTGAATATATAATTAAAGTGAGTATCTAAGTCACGACATTACATCATGTAATCCGGACAATATCCTGATACATTAATACAACTCCATAAACTCAAACAAGACAAAACATAAACAAAGTTGTGTGGCATGAACAATCCCCATGCTCACCAAAACAACAGCATAATCACAGCGTCTCATCAAAGTAAACATGATAATAAACCGAAGCTAAAGCATATAAGCAGCATGCATATCCAGCATCTCCATGTCAGCATACAATAACAGCAAACTAACTCAGCTCCGGCCCCCTGCCGCCTGAGGTCTCAACATTACCTGAACCTGAAATAAGCGTCACCAAACGTGGGGTGAGATCTCTTAACAAGAAATCTCAGTAAGACAAGGGGTCCTCAATGATCTTCCACCCCAAGCTCACTTATATGTGCAATATAAGTTCAAAAGCATTTATTCAATATAAGTTCTCAAAACTATGTAGTGCAACAGATATTCATGCCATGTGTGTTTGATACTATTCTACTGGCCCAGAGAAATACAGAAATATGTCTATCTCCTACATGTAGTATAAGGAACACCGCTTGCACCTCACCCACAGCCTCACCCTATTGTATGTTCTACATACTCAGGCTTACCGTATAGGTGGACACCACATGCATATCATAAAAGGCACTGACATATAACAGCTCAACAGCATTTCCAAATCATTAAAAGCATGTAGCACATCATGCATATACCATATCCCCATGGGACATGGTGGAACCACAACATGGCTAAACCGAGGACACGAAAGCTTACCTTGCAAGCTTACTATCCAATGCCAAGAGTCCTCACAGCTCAAGTCCAACACACAGCAGATCACAATCTGATTTAGGACCAGCAAGCATATCAACATATGTAACTCAAAAGCATTAACATAAAGACTATGTTTTCCTTACACGTTTTACGTCTTAAGGCTTTCCACAAAGCCATAAGCCCTTAATCACATGATTCTGACTCAGTTCGTTATTTACAGAAGTTCAACTTTCTCAAGCTAGGGTCCACAAACCCCCAATAGCCTACTGTTCACACAGCTCAGCTACTGTTCTACGAAATCTCAGAATATCTGGATATCTCACAGTCCATATCCGGATATCCTGATCCCAATATCCGGATACCCAATATCCGGATACCATATCCGGATATCACATATCCGGATATATCACGGGCACATATCCGGATATTTCACGACAGAATGCAGAAACTGCATTTCGTGAAAATATCCTTCCAAGGTTAGGTTTTTACCGATTTTAAACACCTAAACATGCATTTCTAGGTGTGTTAGACATTACCCAACATCAAGTTATCATCTTTTAGCCTTAACATGCATCAAGCTTCCATTTTTAAGCCTAAGACTCATGATCAAAGGTAGATACAACATACCAAGACTCAAAACAGGGGATGAAGGTGCTATTGGAGCTCACACAACAGCTCCAAGGTTCTGACTTGGTCCAAGCACGAAAATGGTGCACAAAGGTGGTTCTTTTACTCAACAAGGAAGCTCCTTGAAGCTTCAAAACACCAAAAGAAAGCTCTATCCTTCCCAAAACGCGAAAACAACAAGCTCAACCTCTCAAAACAGAAACCAAACTCAGAAATGAAGTCTCTTTCTCATTCACAAAGGTTGATCACACTCACCTAAGTGTTTAGCCAACAAAAGAGGAGAAGAAATGAAGGAAAGAGGTCTCAAACCCTCAAAATGGTGAAGAGACAAGAGGAAAATGTCCAAGGATGATCGGCCACCCTCAAGTCAAGTAAGAAATGGTAGTTTTATAGGGCATTGTGCCCTTAAGTGAGTATATAAAGCCACTAAGCAATAAAACATGTAGTATTAGCTTTAAATGCTATGCTTAGCATCTTAATCTCAAACTCAGGATTTTTAACCTACTCAATTTTACAAGAATTATCATATTTTTCTTATATTTTTCCGAGTACCTTTTCGGTACACGTTTTTCCATAGCCAGTATCAATTCTGGCACCAGTTCTCATTATTTTAACATGAAACTCGTTTACAAGTCCTACATATCATTCTAGTAATTATCAAGCACTTTTTATAATTTTTCGCGATACTTTTTCGGTACGCATTTATACCGACTAGCAGAACTGATATCTGCACTTTTCTTCCGAAAAGCGACTTTCAGCATTCTAATTTACTTACCATATTTATTAAGCCTCATAAATAATTATTATGGTCAATTATGGAGTCATTTCAAATTAAACATGATTAATCAATTAAAATACCCTAATTAACGGTACAGGTTCTTACATAGGCACTCCTCTCATCTCTGTTGAGAGCAAATATTCAGTGAATCCGGCACATATAGGCCGGGTAAAGAGAAAGAAGATAAGAAAGAGAGGAAGAAGAAAGAAAGAGAAAATAACCATACAATTAATTTCCCTCTGTCGAAGGCTAAGGCAGTGCAGTCCAAGGTGATCCATTACTATTCTGTTGTCCATAATATTTTCTCAACAATGCACCATAATTGTCTATCTAATTCCGGAGCTAATCTCTTATTTAATGCAATTAATAGGATATTGATGTGCAGAGGCGGATGGAGGTACAAGAGAAGGGGGACAAGTGCCCATCCTTAAAATATGATGTAAAAATACAAAAATATTTTTCTCTTAAAATTGAAATTTTTTCAATTTAATTTCGAGGCATGAGATTATAACAATTAATTAGGGTTACTACCAATTAATTTCACCGTTAGATCGATTATGTTGATTCAACGGTTATATTTATTTTAATCTTTGTATACTTATGATTTCTCATATTTAATACTTTATATTTATTTTAACCTTTATATGGTTATGATTTCTCATATTTAATGCTTTTACCCGATGGTTCTTGCTCTCGAATATGGCAACGAGATTCTTATTGGGATGCACGTCCTTCCTCGATCGAGGAGGTACTTTAGCTGAACATATTTAGAATGGTTTATCTGGAAGTAATGACTTCTTTAACCCGAAATACTTTCTCATTTTCAGCAATGAATATCCGCTTTTTATACCTCGCCAAAATTATTGCTCGACTGGTGGGGAAAACTCATGGTCTGATAGAAGCTCAAGTAATTTTGGTGTTGCTTCGATGGAATCTGAGAGGAGGCCTCGCCTGGATTCATCTGGCAGTAGTAGCTTTAACTATTCTTTAGCTTCTTCTCATTCTGTTCAAACACACAAAGATTTGCAGAAAGGAATTTCACTTTTAAAGAAAAGTGTAGCATGCATCATAGCTCACTGTTACAACTCCCTATGTTTGGATGTCCCTTCTGGGGCATCTACGTTTGAAGCATTTGCAAAGTTATTGGCTACACTCTCATCATCCAAGGAAGTTCGATCTGTTCTTTCCTTGAACATGGCTCGCTCGCTCTAGGTAGTCATTTATTTCCTGCGTCATAGTATGGACATAAAATTTTGTGACTACTGTATACACGTTGTAAAAATGTCGGTAAAGGTTTACAAATTAGCCTTATTCTGACATCAATGCTGATATATTGACAAGCATTTGTATATGAATTAATTTCTTTTTTTAAAAAAAAAAATCTTTCTCCATAAACCCCGACTAGCGAGGATGGGGTGAGGGCAATCCTTATACGCAGCCTTACCCTTGCATAATTGCAAAGAGACTTTATCAGATTCGAACTCGTGACCGTGTGTATGAATTAATTCATCTAATAAATTGTGTTATTATGTAACAAGCATTAATAAGCTCTTGTGTTCATGACTCAAAGTGTTGGGGGAAGAGATTGGAGAGTGTATACTAGAAAGAATAAAAGAAGCCGTTAGGTTAGTGTTACGAGTCCCACATTGATCGCCTATACAACTAATGTGGGGTTTATAAGGCCTTGGGAACTCCCACCCTTTGAGCTAGCTTTTGGGATGGCGAATTCAAGGTCCGTAACAATTGGTGCTTTCATTTAGAGTTAAGTCACGGAAAGGGCTACCTATAGGTTGTATTAAGGTGTCATAGGGGTGTTGTATGGAATACTGATAGGTGAGTGAAGCCTCCAAAAGGGAAAAGGCTACAATCGAGTCAGTGTCAATAGAGTGAAAGCCGTCGTGGACGTCGGCCCTTGAAGAGGTGGCAATGTTACGAGTCCCACATTGGTTGCCTATACAACTAATGAGGGGTGAGGAGTTTATAAGGGTTTGGGCACTTCCACCCAAAGTTTGCTGATTAGGCAATTAGTTAGTTAGGGTGGAAATTAGGCAGTTAGGTTTTGAGTGAAATGATTTCTGATTACACTAGTATTTTGATTTTCACCCAAAGTTTGCTGTAACATCCCTCAAATAGAACGCAGGCAGCATTGTAGCTGAGTTTTTCTTTTCTTTTTGTTTTTGATTCAGGAGATGTAAGCAAGTTCAACAATTGAACAAATCTGTATGGAATATGAATTCTACTATTTCATCAACTACTTTGCTGGAAAGTGCACATTCTGTTCCCACAACGGTATAAGTTATCTCATCATTTGTAATTTGAAAGAAAATCTTGAAGTGTCAGCTGATTTTTTTATGTTTACTTTTAGTGTCTTTGGTTCATCACTTGCAAATTAAAACTAGTAAGCATCTATCTTGTGGATTTCTCAGAATTGCCTGAAAAGGAGTGTAAAACTTTCTGGGTAAAATTTAATTCTTTTTTTCCACAGAACTTCAATATTCACTGAATACAAGGTTTTTCTCTAAACTTTTACAGCTGCTTTAGAGATCTGCTAGTGTATTTTCTAATTATACTCTCTTGTATCTGATTTTAAAACGGAAAAGCTTATGTAAAGCAAATCCAAGCAGGCTGTACTTTTCTCTCTGCCACGGCTTACATAGCTACAAAGGTTAATATTTGTTTATTTGGAACCACCAATGTGTCTTAATCTTTGAAAGCATTTTTCGTTTTTGCTCTTTCAAGCCATCCTTTGGTAGGAGTTCTGATATGAGAATTCTTTGTTTTGTATCCTCTGTTAAATTCATTTCTATCTGGTTTATGTGGAGCTGAACGTTATGTGCAATAGTTAAATCACTGTCCCTAAAATAGGGCCCTTTTGTACGCAGATAAAAGATAAAAGATTTGCCACATTTAAGATTTGTACGTCTGACCAATTCTGAATAGAAGATTTGTACGCAGAATTAATACACATGAAGTTAAGGAGACTTTAAAGAGGATGAAGACTAATAAAGCCTTGGGGCCTGATGGTGTCCCTATTGAAGTGTGGAGAGGCCTGGGGGATGTGGCAATAAAATGGTTGACCAATCTTTTTAATAAGATTCTCCAGACGAATAAGATGCCTGATGTATGGAGGAAAAGTATGATTGTGCCTATCTACAAAAACAAGGGAGATATACAGAATTGTTCAAACTATAGAGGCATTAAGCTAATGAGTCATACTATGAAGTTGTGGGAGAGAGTTATTGAACATCGCTTGAGGAGAGATACCAATGTTTCTGTAAATCAATTTGGATTTATGCCAGGAAGATGTACCATGGAAGCCATTTTCTTGATGCGACAACTAATGGAAGATACCGAGAAAAGAAGAAGGACTTGCATATGGTGTTCATAGACCTTGAGAAAGCATACGATAGGGTTCCAAGGAAAGTTTTATGGTGGGTCCTGGAGAAGAAAAAGGTTCCATTAAAGTATGTAAAGGCAATCAAGGATATGTATGATGGGGCTACTACATGTGTAAAAGCTTGTAACGGATCATCAAGTTATTTTCCTATCACGGTAGGTGTACACCAAGGGTCGGCTCTAAGTCCTTACCTCTTTGCCTTAGTTATGGATGAACTAACAAAATATATTCAAGAGGAAGTGCCATGGTGTATGCTTTTTGCAGACGATATTGTGCTTATTGATGAGAGCAAGGAGAGTGTTAATAGAAAACTTGAATTGTGGAGAAGCACATTGGAATCCAGAGGATTCACATTAAGTCGAAGCAAGACTGAGTATCTGAAGTGTGAGTTTTCTCTGGTACAAGATGAGGACCAAGAACCTGTGCATCTAAATGGTCAAGAGGTACCCAAAAAAATGCTTTTAAATACTTGGGCTCCATTTTACAAAACGGTGGAGAGATTGATGAGGATGTAAATCACAGAATCAGAGCAGGGTGGATGAAATGGCGTAGTGCATCTGCATTTTTGTGTGACCGCAAAATTCCCCTGAAGTTAAAAGGAAAATTCTATAAAACGGCAGTACGACCGGCAATGCTATATGGAGCGGAATGCTGGCCAGCACATAGGCAACATGAGCATAACATGGGAGTAGCAGAGATGAGGATGTTAAGGTGGATGTGTGGTTACACAAGGATGGATAAGATAAGAAATGAAGATATTCGACGAAAGGTCGTAGTAGTACCGGTAGCCGAGAAGATGAGAGAACATAGATTGAGGTGGTTTGGGCACGTGATGAGAAGACCCATGGATGCTCCTGTAAGAACAGAAGTTTGTTACCAAGAGCTAAACACAAAAAGAGGCAGAGGTAGGCCGAAGCTTACTTGGGAGAAAGTAGTAAAACAAGATTTAATGGAATGAGATATAGATTGGCGGACAGTATGTCTTAGAAAGGAATGGAGAAAAGCTATAAGTATGGTGGAGGGTTAGACCCGCTGTTATTCCTATGTTCCAGATGGTCCCTTTTTAGTCCTTTTCCTCTTCATTTCCCCCACTTCTTCTTGTTCCTTTCTTTTTTACTTTTATTTATTTATATATACATATATTTTTATTTTATTTTATTATTTTATTTGTGTATTTTTATTTATTTATTAATTTATTTATTTATTTTTATTTTTTTTATTTTTATTTTTTTTAATTTTTTTCAACCGTTTTGTATCTTTCATGTGGGTTCATCTACCACCGACCCCAATTAATTTGGAATAAAGGTGTTGATGTTGATGTTGATGTTGACAGAAACTTGCTCAAGAAGCTTTTGACTATAAGTTTTTTTGTCTCAAGATATGTTGATCCGAACACTAATTTATTCTTTAATTACAAAAAGGAAGAAGCAAATTCATGAAGGTTGGACAGTTGGGTTGCAAATGGTAATTTGGTTATAGAATATGGTTATGGACCTAACTGTTTACTACTACATGTTTTTCATTAACTTGCCCTTCTTCTTCTTCTTTTTGGGTTGATACATTGTTAGGATGCAATTCAGCTGATATAAGTTCAACTTTGAAAGGGTCAAAATCGGGGGTTCAAATTTATATAAGATTGATCTTGGCTTGAGTTTTAGCTGCACATACACAGGAGCCATTAGTTTAAAGTTTTGAACTCAAGATAGCTACCACTACCAGCTTAGGGTTTTACAAATATGTATCCATTCTGATGTCTAACATACATAACTAGAGACAATAGCTTTAACATTCAACATTGTGCCTTTATTCGAGTAGTTTTTCTCTTTATCTGGCTTACAATATGCTTATATTCAGTTTTTGGTTTATATATGTATGTTTTTTGGCTGACTGGAAAGTTTTTCTTGGGTTTGATTTGTCAGGTTGAAGGGAGTGGAAGCCGTCACAAGATTCTGGAGGATTAATTTATAAAGTACTTGCAAATTAGTTCCTCTCCCCCCACCCTCCGGGGTGTATATATAGATTATGAGAATTGTGAATATGTAAATATTTATAGGCAAGGTTCATTTAATTCTTAAATGTGGCAAAATCTCATCAATAATTGATGATTGTGTCTAGCAAATCTCATCAATAATTGATGATTGTGTCTAGCTTCAGTGCTTCATGGTTTGACTCGAGTTAGTTTGACTCCTGAATTATAGAATTTATCTGACCACTAGTGTTTTATCTTTTATCTGACTAGCAATCAGATTCAGCAGTTTTAAGCAAGCATGCAGATATTTCCTATGTAATTAATGCTTAATGCTTCCTCTCAAGTGTACTAAACGGAACTAGATGATTTGAGCAATAACCAATTATCTCATTTTATCCGAAATACCTTGTGCCCTCCAATGTGTGTTAACAAAAGATATTCATTTTAAGGAAGAATGCATCGATGGTGTTATAAAAACTAGTTCACCCGGATTCAGTGATCGGAGCTCTAAACGTTATGTCATTCACGCTGAACTGGGGAAGCAATTTAACCAGATAAAACTGGTGAACTTAAAGCGGACCATTTCATATATAAAATCGTCAGCGTGTACACTTCATATGATAACTCTCAAAAAATTGGAAAACACACTCATGCTTGTAGCTTATCTGAGCTTCAGGTTTTCAGCTCTATCTTGTGTTCCTTCCTCCGGTGTGCAGCAGTAATGATACTTTTGAGTCCTTTTGATCGTAAACACACTCGTGCTTGTAGCTTATCTTAGCTTCAGGTTTTCAGCACTCGCAGTCGCTTGTATTCCTTCTTCCTCCGGTGTGCAGCAGCAATGATACTTTTCGATCGTGTGAAAGGCCTTCTAGGATTTTGATTTGTAGGATACTAGTAGCTCATGTCATAGAAACAAAACATGTGAATCTTACTCATTTTTTTATTTTTTTAAAAAAAAGTGAAATCCACATGCTTTATATCTATAACATGATATACTAATCTCATACAATATATGAGATTAATATTTTCCTTTTAATTTTAACGGCAACTAGGCAGTCTAGACTTTATGTTAAAGCCCACAACTATTCTTTTGATTCAAACTAAATAAAACCAAACCGATCCATATTTTAAAAAATTGGTTCTAAACAAAATTACCTTTTACTGGTATGTAAGCAGATGTCTATTGTTGCCCATATCCGAACATTTTCGGGATTGAATAAAACTTGAATCATTTTGCTTAGGAATTAGAGGTGATAAAATGGATCTAATCTATTAGGTTGGTATATTTAACACGCCACAAACGGAGGATTGCCTTGGGATCTCAATTTGCCAACTCACTTGAACTCGCTCCATATAAGGGCCGGTTACAATTAGGGTTGGCAAAAACGAGTCGGGTTGGGTTGGCAAAAATAAGCTGCTAATCCACGGGTCAAATGAGTCAGCTCGCGGGTTGAGTTTTATTTTTTTTATTATTATAAAAAAATACAAAATATAGTATACAAAAATGGACATAACTCACACATGTTGTCATCATTTTTCTTCCTTCTTCCTTCTCTAAACCTAAGTCCCTAATTTTTTCACATCCCTGCCATTTTTATATTGTTAGGCTGTGCTGGCTCTGTTTGGTTTAAATATCTTACCCACTTGGTAGCAAGTGGTTCTGATTGTTTCTTGATATTGATGCAAATTTGTTGTGAAGAAAATTTGAAACTAAAATATTTTGCTTTTATTTTTCATTTTGTAACCCTCTGTTTAAGCTAATAGAAGCCACATAGCTGGTGCATTAATACTACATGGTCATTTAAATAGGCTGAAAATGAGCCAACCCGCGAGCAATTTTTGAGCCAATCCACGAGCCAATTTTTGAGCTAACTCGCGAGCTATTTTTTCAAGCCAACCCACGAGCCAATTTTCGAGCCAACCCTAACCCGACTCGGATCGGGTTTTCTGGCTCGTTTTTTTTTCGAGCCAACCCTAACCCGGCTCATTTTTTTCGGGTTGAACGCGGGTCGGGTCGGGTCGGGCCGGTTGGTCCGTTTTGCCAACCCTAGTTACAATGGGTACAATCTGCAATGGTGCAGATTGATTCGTCAGATTAGTTTTCTTTATTATTATTATTTGTCATGTCAAGCTTTTATGATATATAAAATTTTCATTTTAGTACTACTCTAAAAAAAATAAAAGAAGAAAACACTATATATGGAGGCAAAAATAGTTTTTAGAGACTATCAAATTGAATATTAATAGATTTAGGTTTGTGATTGAAAAAAATTAATGGAAGTGTGAAATAGAATTAAACAACACTATAAAACACATTAAATTAGATTCATTTTAATTTTTTAAATGAGTTGATCCGCTAATCCACCATAAAAAATGGGACAAATTGATCTTTTTTTAAAAAAAAAAAAAAGTATGCATCCTTTTAAATGATATATAATTATATACTTTTTTTTAAAAAATATTACAATCGGTTCATTGCTTCACAACTAATCCGATTTGGGGAGGATTCAGGATTCAGGCTTTAAACCCCTCCTGAAGATGGTACTGGAGAGATTCGAACACATGCTCTCACCCCACCTGCTTATCATTGATTGGCAGAAATCAATGATGTTAAGATATAGTTGTAAGAGGTTGTAAAATAAAAATATTGTAAGTATAACATTCTTCTTAAAATTTTTAGTAATTAAAAGGAAATGTAGATTTATAAATGACATACTAATAGCATCAACCTTAAAATAATCATTACTGTTTTTGCAAAGAATGGTATACATGCTGATTAAGAATGAAGCAAAAATGTTTGTTTTGTTTTTTATCCAAAAAAAAAAGAATGAAGCAAAAATGTTTGTTTTGTTTTTTATCCAAAAAAAAAAGAATGAAGCAAAAATGAGATGAAGAAACAATAAACAAAATTTGATGCGGTTTTAAAAACCAATGCTAGCTAGAATGTTGTTGAGCTGGTACGCCGTAGTTGGTATTTCGGAGTGAGACTTGTAGCTGAAAGTGACTGTGCATCTATTTCCTGCAATAGTAATATGAAGAAACATTAAAATATAAGCCTCATTCCATGATATGCCAACAGTTAATCAATTTTTTTAAATTTTTTATTTTTTTCTAAATTTTAACTCCAATGTGTAACGGCTATCCTTTTGTTATGGATTGGATCCATATCCTATAAACTCTATTACCAACAAGATTGGATAGAGATATGATAACTATATAATATTACTAACAAGATTGGATAGAAATATCACAACCATATAATTTAGAGATGATCAAGCAGCGGCAGAGCCAGGTTCTAATTTGAGCCCGGGCCAAAAAAATTATATGTGTATTTATTTTTCTTAGATTTAGTTAATTCATATCATAATATATTTAAATTATATTAAATACATAGCACCTGAGCATGCAACACTAAGAAGAATTATAATTTTATTAATATTTTTTAATTTTACTAAAAATATATATTTTTTTTATGGCTTTAATTTTTTTTAAAGTGAATGTAGATAAGTTATCCACATTTGCTCCTAAAACGACGTCGTTTTGGGTTAAAAAAATAAAAAATTATAATAAAAAAGACTACTATAATCCTGAAATAAATTATAACTATAAACGGTATTAAAAAAAATTATAATTATAAAAATACCTTGATTTCTGCCTTAAAACGACATCGTTTTGGGCTCAATATAGATAAGTTATTTACATTGACTGTAGAAAAAATAACTCATTTTTTATATAAGTGAAAATTGAACACATAACCTAGTACAACTTACCCAAATCTTTTATAAAAAATATTTTAAGTTTTAGATAAGGCCAAATTATAAATGGTAGCTCGGGCAAAATTACAATTTTAACTCGGCCAAATTATAATTAATTATATAATTATACGTAATAAATACAATTTGTTAAAATTTAGCCCGGGCCGAGGCCCCACCTAGCCAATACATGGCTCCACCACTGTGATCAAGGGATAAGATCCTTATCCCCATCAATCAAGGCAGATTTCATATCAAATGGAAGATTTCAAAGGCCTAAGCCTATAAAGGTAATTCTTATAAATAAGAGACTAAAGACCCCACACATTAATAAGATATCTATCTCTAAGTCTATTGCTTGTGCGCAGTAATTAAAGTATTAACTATAAGCTAATCAGAATATCTATCTCTAAAATATCTGTGAGCGTACATACCATACAATATAGATATAGGGTTCAACCGAACACCTTCAATTGGCGCACATCCTCAATAATACATCACACTGAGCGTAGGAAAAAAGAAAATGAAAGCGTTAAAACTGAGCTTCATTTAGGCAAATGCAATGACCTTGTTTGTTAAGTAATTTCTGCGCATTCTGCTTTCCTTTTCCTTTCTATTAAAAACTAAAAAAAGCCTTGAACATGAAATATATTAATTAAAAAATTGCCACCACCAAATTGTTCTTATAAAACAATCAAAATTGTTAGCGTCCGTTTTCATATAATAAGAAGAAAAATTGTCGTTTACAGTTGCCATCTCTATCAATTAATCTATGTAAATTGAAAATGGCGGTTCTTGGTCTCGATTTTTAGATGGATAAATAATATATATTGCCGTATTTGTTTGTGTTCTTTGGAGTCAAGTTATAAAAAAAAATAAACTTTTTAAGGCGTAAATATACAATTATATCATTTTTCTCTTTATCACTAATTTTCTCTGAAAAAGTCATTTATTATTATTATATTTCTCAAAACAGACGTCGACAATTACCTAAAATGTTTTTATATAAATTTAATCAATCATTATAATTAAACTAAATATAGTCCCATCAATGCGATAAAAAATGTTAAAAAAATGGGATTAATATTTGTCCTTATAAAATACATAGAATTGTGACAGTTTAATCAAAATTACTGTGTTTTATAATGAGAGAAATAGAAATTATAGTGGAAAAAAGTGAGAGATTTTTTAATTTAAATATTAAATAAATAACGATAATTTTAACTAAAATAAATATCCTTTAAGAGGACAAATATTTTTTTCTAGAAATTATGACTTATTATCAAGATTTGGTCCACGAATTTTACTTTGCATGACCAAATACTATTTACTATTTTTTGTTTGTTTGAAGCAGTTAGATTTTAAATTATATCAAGTATTTTTAACATAATTTCGAAAGTTTCAAAGGACGAGCATGAACTGTTTTGAACCTTGGGCCACATGGCCGCCAGCCCCATCTTGCCTTTGTCCCTGCTCAGTGCACCAAAAAAGAATAATTAAATATGTCAATCTCAATACAATTTTATCAAAAATAAATAAATTAATAGTATATTCTGCTAATAATGAGCAATAATGATATATTTTCTATCAAACCTCTAAAAGAAGATGATTACATTAAATTAAAAAGAATGATGGAAATTTGTATAGTTAAAAAAAATTGGACCTCCCTCATAATCCAGTATTGTAAATAGTTATAATGTTTACCACTACATAACCTTATATATTTAGAAAATTTGATATTTTTACATCCTATAATTAAATAGTGCTTTGGTTTTCTCATCTAACATGATCAATTTTTTTTCTTCAAAGAAACCACAATTTAAATAATAAAAAAAATAAAATCGAAGAGGCACTGTGTTCAATGACTTTATCTTACCTGTAGTGGTTGCATGACACTAATCTTCTAGCAGTAACATATTCTTATTTATCGCAATTAAATATTACCATTTTAACTATAGTTTGGTCGAAAACTTGTGTATTTAACAGTCAAAATGTTAAGATCATCTTGATGTAAATTTCGGTATGAATGCGCATCGATCTCTTAACATAATCATGATCTAAATTTCAGTAACTCATCAACATGGCTGTCTTCTAACACAATGGCTGTAGCACCGTCCTAAATACTTCTATGTCAGTTTACGTCACGATAGAAGGATAGAATTACAAACATAGATTTAATAAATGGGCCAAGTACAAAGTATGTCTAAAACAAAACAAATTGCTTAAAATGAAGAGAGAAACAACTGAATTCTTCTTTCTTATAACTTAAATTGAAACTAAAATATTGTGTGTATAGTTCGAATGGCTAATCATGATATCTCAAACAAGATATGTATTTCTTGCCATGACTCCTATATATTCATAAACGCAGCACATAATACATTGCTTTTTTCTTTCTTCCAGATCTCTTTTGTGCATCCAATTTGGGATTGCAGTTTCATCTCATCCCATCACAAAAACTGGAAGAAAAAAAAAAAAAATGCCTTCACAACAGCTTGTTTGAAAACCAAACTACATATTATTGATAGCAAGTCATGCAGAAATCAAATATATTACGAAATTTTCCTTTAATAAATGGATTTGCTGAGTGTACCTTCACCGTTTTGAGCAGGCTAATTTCCTTCTGCAAGCGAAACTTCTCGTTCTCTAGCTTATTTATATGTTCCTTGAAGCATGAGATATAAAGAAGAATGTTAAATTTCCATAGTTGATCACTAACTGGAGATGCCTCATGAGTCTTGGAGCAAAATTTACCTGCTTCTTTGCCCTTGATCTAGCAGCAGATTCCCTGTTCTTGGCCATTCTCTTCTGTCTCCTCTCAATAGTCTTTTCCAGCATCTCATCTGAGTACCTGCTTCGCTTCTTGGAATCTGAACATGTTATTGGCACTGTGTAACCAATTTCCGGGTTCTCATATTTAGAAACACCAAAATCTGGACATAGTCCCATTATTTGTTGATGCTGCTTCTCATGATGTTGCTGTTGATGTTGATGTTGATGTTGGTAAGTTTGCATCTGCAGTGGCAACCAATCTTCTGGCTGTGACCCTATGACCATTGGGTCAATTCCCTTCAGGGTTTGAACATCATGACCAATAACATTATCCTCCTTTCCTATGTTAATCATTCCATCACCACCTAGAAAATCTTCCAATGTCATTTCTCCAAAACTAGATTGTTGTTGGGAGTGGTTTTCCTTGACATGTTCTCGTTGAACAATCTCCCTACATACCTCATTAATGGTTTTATTAGTCAATGTCCCGTTCAAATTAATGTTCCCAAGAAGAAATGAATCATGGTTTGTCACGAGTTGTGATCCATTTTCTGCTGAGATCACATTTCTGAGAAGCTCATCCAAATTCATACTATGGAGAGGCTTCCTTTTGTTTCCCTCATCAAATGTGAGGTTATAGAAAGAGCCTTCCCTAACCAGAGTTGGATACTGTGACCCCTCATCCCTATTAGGAGAAACCATATCCATTGTCCTGTTAGCCATTCAAAAACAACTATAGAGCTGCAAATAAATAAAAAATGTTTTTTGGAAAAAATTTAAGGAGATAGATATAAACAACTCCAAGCACAAGTTGAGAAAACAAGCTTTTTTACTATACAATCAAATCTACAAAATAGTAGAATTTCATAAAAGAGTAACAAGTTGGAAGTCACTAGGGCTGAGAGTGAAAAGCTCAGCAGTCAGTTTGAGAAGCGAAATGTGAGGCGCCACAAAGATAGAATTGAAGTAGTTTTAAACAAACCTTGCAGACTCGGATGTGGTGAATAAGATCCTATTTTTATATTTTTCAGAGATAAATTAGAGTAACAACCACACTGATTTGTATGCTACATTGTTGGGGGTTTACAGGTTAAATATAAATCCTAAGACCCAACTTACCATAAATAACCTCTCTGCTTTGCTCATCTCACCTCTAGGCCTTTAGCACTCTTCTTTTTTCTTTTCTTTTTTTTCATTTTTTGTCAATTTCCTTTTCTGTTGATGACCGTAAGAACAGAATACATGACAGTTGATGACGGTTATTTCACCAAGCCCATGGGCTTCTGTTGGTACCTCTACAGATGTCAAAATGAAATAAAGTTCATAGGTGAGCCTTGAAATCCCATGACTTTTTTTCTTTCTATAAAAATATAAATATATATTAAAATTTTGAAAGATCAATTACTCTAACTCATATAGCTCCGTAGACTCTCACACACACATATATATATATATATGGGAAAATATTTCTGCAGCCACTTTAGATAAGGTTGTCTGCAAGATAAGGTTGTCTACAGTTGCCCATTTTTAACTAAGTATGACCGGTCATACTTTAAAATTGCATTTTCTCTCTCGCCACGTCAGCCGACAGTGTCTGAGGAAAGAGAAAAAAAAAACAGCTTTATTGTTATAACTAAGTATGACCGGTCATACTTAGTGAAAAAGCGATAGCTGTAGATAACCTTACCTAAAGTGGCTGTAGAAATACTTTTTCCACACATATATATATATACATCTAACTCATATAGCTCCGTAGACTCACACACATATATATATATATAGGGAAAAACATTTCTGCAGCCACTTTAGATAAGGTTGTCTACAGCTGCCCCTTTTTAACTAAGTATGATGTTGCGTAAAATCGGCAAGTGCATCGATCGTACCAAGTAATAAAAAGTGAGTAAGAATATCGTCCCACGAGGATTGAGGCACCAGATTTAATTTTAATTATCCCTTTCTTAATTGGATGAACAAAAGTTGGTTTGTGAAGTAATTGTGTTGTGACAATTGTGAACTATTCAGTATTTCGTGAACAATTTAAAGAGAAGTTTGAAAGCTTAAAGTAAAAGGTTGAGTTTTGAGAAAAATATATAAAGAACTATTGCAGTAAAGGACTCCAACACCTTTCCGATCCCCACCTTATAATAATGATTAATGTTTACCTTTAATTACCCAATTGATCAAACAATTCACCATCTATAATTTATTAGTTAAGCCCTAATCCCTTAGTGATCTTAACTTTATTAACCCTATTAGAATCCTAATCCATTATCCCTTAGTGATCTTAACTTTATTAACCCTATTAGAATCCTAATCCCTTAGAAAGCCTTTTTCAAGTTAATCTTTTAGCCCAGTGAATTTTCCACATTTGCAGTTCATATAGCCTATCCCTAGTGCATACATGAACGGTTATTTTACCCTTTGTCAGGAATTAGAATCCCAATATTCCTATTGTAAACCCTAACCCTCGCAATCCTAATAGAGTCGCGAATTCTAAAAGAATTATGGATGAAGAACAGGATAAAATAAATTCAATTGAAATAATTAACTATAAAATTAACCAAACTACAAGGGGTTCACATCAAGGGTTGTGACCCTTACCACAATATAAAAAAACTAGCCAGACATATTCATGTCTGACAAAACAAAATATTCAAAAGAATTCATAAAACTAAATAATAACCGGAAAGAATGGAAGAAGAAATCTTGATTCTTCAGGCACCGAAAGCTCGCTCCGATTCCTGTTGCTCGCAATTTCTCCCGTGCAAAAGTGTGTCTTTCTCTTGAGGTATGAGTCTCTATTTATAGAGTCTTTGACCTGGTGGAGAATCTTGATCTAATCTTTTCCGCATCTTAGTGTAATCTTGTCTCTGATTTGCAAGGGATTTAATGCTGATTGTCCGCACCTCCCACGCCACTAGCGTGGTTACCACGCTGTGAGCGTGGGAGTTTTTCTGTATAATCCTGGAGCACCACGCTGCAAGCGTGGGCTTTTTGAGGGTTTGGCGCTACTCGCGTGGTTCCCACGCCAGTAGCGTGGTAGCTTCTGTATGAAAGTGCTCCCTTCACGCTATGAGCGTCATACCCACGCTGTGAGCGTGGGCCTTCAGTTTAGCTTTTCCTCTTTAGCTCCAATTTGTCTGTTTTTCCTACGAAATCAACACAAAATCAGTATGCAATCTCTAATTAAGATTTTGACAGATCAACAGTGATTATTGCCCTTTTTGCTTAAGATTTAATCAACATTCTTTCTCATTTTGGCTTAGATTTCCTTATATGTTGAACGCATATCAAACAATTTCCAGATTTGAACTTTGTTGTCCTCAACAATGTAATAGATTCAAGTTATCAGCAAAGAATAATTCAGTGAAAACATGGAACACAACATCTTAAGAATTCAGACTGCTATGCATGTATAACTTTCTGTTTAAAACTTCCAACAATGCTTTTCAGTTATATCAAGAATTTAGACCCTAGCGTGAACATTTCCTCATCAGTTTAAATGTACTCTCATCACACTCAGTGTTTAAGGGTTTCACACTTATCCGTCAGTGTAGCAGGAATTTCATAGGCTTGAACTTATTCTCAATTCCTAAGAATGAGGAATCCATTTGACATGCATAGACTGATCAAAAGGTCTTTGATAGGTTGTAACTTAGCCTGGTTTGGGGGTGAGAATCTTTTGGTCAGAAGCTGATTGGAGAGATTGAAATACGGATTTTAACAATACTTCCTTCTCTTCTAGGCTTTGCCTCATTTTACAAACTTGGGATTCTTTCCCTTTCTTCACTACCTTTTTCTTTCCTTGTTTGCAGATGTTTTCTTTCTTTTCTCTTTTGAGCTGCAGACAATGTCTGAGAAAAGAGAAAAAAGAACAGTTTATTGTTATAACTAAGTACGGCCGGTCGTACTTAGTGAAAAAGGAGTAGCTGTAGACAACCTTATCTAGAGTGGCTGTAGAAATACTTTTCTCATATATATATATATATGATTTTATAAATCACGTGTTAAAGGAGATAAATTATTTATGTCATAGAAATAAATTTGTGGGCTCCATCACTTGAAAAAAGAAAATAAAAAAGAAAAGAAAAATGGGGCACATTTATCGAAGGGTGTCTAGGAGGAAAAACTTATCTCATGTAGCATGAGAATACTTTTTCCCATATATATATATATATATATATATATATATATATATATATATATATATATATATACGAGGTAGGATATTTTGACACCGGTGTCAAATTTCAAATTTGACACCTCTTCAGAGAGCCATTAGATCAAAAAAGATCAACGACTCTGATTTGTAAGCATGTGACACTGTTGATCTTTTTTGATCTAATGGCTCTCAGATGAGGTGTCAAATGATCCTATCTATATATATATATATATATATATATCTCTCTCTCTCTCTATATATATATATATATATATATATATATATATATATGATCAGGATCATTTTACACCGGTGTAAGATTAATAAGTCTTACACCACATCTCAACCGTTGATTTCCACGCGGTTATAATTTAGAAAGTTATACGAATTAATTAATATTGATTAATCATTAATTACACTATAAATACTGATGATTTTCGTGAATCAATGATTGAGATGTGATGTAAGACTTGTTAGTCTTATACTGATGTAAAAAGAACCTGCCCCATATATAAAGGGTCAGGATCATTTTACACCAATGTAAGTTACACTCTCAATCTTGACCATTGATCCCACTTATATCTAAGAGCTCTAATTTTTTAGTAATGTGAGCCATTGGATACAATTGGATCAATGATCAAGATTGAGTGTAAGACTTCTAACTCTTACACTGGTGTAAGAATATCATGTCCCATATACATATATATATATATATATATATGGGATTTGTTCTTCTCCTTTCATGGGAGAAGAATTTTTTTTGCAGCCCACACAAGTTTTTAATGGGTCCCACCATATATTAATTTAAAAAACAATAAAAATTGTAAAAAAAAGGATGTGTCATAGGCAGGAGAATAGTCTTCTACAGTTGCAGCAGAAGCTATTTTTATATTTATATATATATATATATGGATCTATTAATCTCATGTTGCATGAGATAATTATCTCATGCAACGGAGATAAGATTGTAGGGTCCACTACTTTTTCAAAAAAAGAAAAAGAAAATAAAATAGTAGATCCCACTATTTTGTCTATGTTGCATGAGATAATTATCTCATGCAACATGAGATAATTATTTTTCATATATATATACACCACAGATATCATGAAAAAGGCAAATAAATAAAGGGTTTAATGTTTCTAAAGGGAATGTAGATACGTTATCTACATTCGCTCCCAAAATGACGTCGTTTTTGGTTAAAAAATTAAAAAAATTATAATAAAAAGACTACTATAACCCTAAAATAAATTATAATTATAAAAATACCTTGATTTTTGCCTCAAAACAACGTGGTTTTGAGCTCAATGTAGATAAGTTATCTATATTGACCGTAGAAAAAAGCAAACCCATAAATAAATAAAAACTATACTTACTAAACGAAGAGATGTTGGTTTTTAAATATTTCATCTTCAAATTTTCAGCTTCATTTCTCCTTTTCGCAACCTCCAATATAAAGAGAATTTGCTATTCCTTTTTTAGCATAAGATAGCTTCTTTCTTTTCTCAGCACATATTTAACAAATGAATCACAAATTCACCTCCTAAATATCTTGCCTTAGATGATCCAACGTGTGTCCACTAAAAGGTCCACACGTATAAATATTTTCATTCTTTCAAATTTGTATCTATAAATCTTCTAACTATTATATACATCAACGGGTAAGGTGTATATAAAAATTAAAATATATCAATTTGGTTGATTTTTAATGCAAAATCTCAATATAGTTGAATATGTATAATAGGGTAAGTACGAATTAGTTCATCTATATATTCCAAACGATTAGGAACCAATCGAAGTTATCAAAATATGTGAGACCGTCAAGGCCAAAAGAAGAATATATAATCACATGTTTAAGTGGAATCTTGACTGCTTTACATATTATTGGCAAATATTCTATCTATAGCCCAATGCTTTCTATTGGATACCCTTTAATTTGTTTCTTTTATGATATTCTTCTATCATTTTTGTTAGTCACTTTTCAATATTTGTTTTATTCGTACTGTGCGTGAAAAAACATACAATTATTTCTGTTATTCAAATTTTGAGAATTTATTTAACTAATGGAAATACATATCGAGCCTAGTAATTGACGCCATTGGTCCACAGAGAAAATACATAAAATAAATGACCAAAGCTCCCCCTTTGAAAATCCATTTTATTTTATTTTTTGGAAAATGAGGATATGATTATTTTATTTTATTTTTCCATTATCATATTCACTAAATGATCTTTTTGTACTAAAATATGAGCCGTCCATGAACTTTGCATACACATGCAGGCGATATGATTTAGTTACAGTGTACATGATAATCATTCTATTTTTTGGTATTATTTCTGAAAAGAAACAATTTTTTCTATTTCTATGCCTTGAAACAGTTTTTGAGAAAAAAATATGTTCAATAACATGTTATATTTTTATTCCGAGAATGATAATTGCATTTGATAACATAACAAATAATAAAATAAAAAATAATTCCTATTACACATAAAAAATTTCGGATCATCACTTTTCTTTCTATATGGTGGAGGTGGTGGTAGCGATGGTGGTGGTGGCGTGGAGGTGGTAATGGTAGTGGTGGTGGCGGTGACGTGGTGATAGTAATGGTGGTGATGATGGCATGGTGGTGGTGACGACAGTGACTATGGCGGCGGTGGTGATAATGGTGGCGATGGTGATAGCATAAGTTGCAACGATGGTTATGGTGGCAGTGGCGATGACGTGGTGATGGTGGTGACGATAGTGACCGCGACAATGATGGAGGTGGTGGCTGCGTAGTGATGGTGGTGGTGACCGTAGTGGCTACGTCGATGGTAGTGGTGGTTGGTGACGGTGGCGGTGGCGGTGGTCGTAATGATGGCGATGGTCGTAATGATGGCGATGGTGGTGGAGTGGTGGCGGTGGCTATGATGATGGGGGTGGTGGTTGGTGGGATGATGATGATGATAGTGGTGGTGAATGTGGCATGGTGGTAGTGATGAATAGAGGCGTGGTGATGGTGACAGTGGCGTCATGGTAGTGGTAGTGGTAGTGGTGGTGACGACGGCACTGGTGGTATGACGACGGCGGCGACGATGGTGGCGATAGTCATGTCGGGATGATGATGGTGGTCGTGGTGATGATGATGGTAGAAGTGGAGAGTGATTGAGAGAGGTAAGTGTTTCTCATTTTGTACCCGGAAACAAAAAAATAGAACTTTTTTTATTCTTTTTTTGTTTCCCGGCACAAAAATTAAACTAGTTCATCGAACAAAAAAAAAAACTAATTTTACCGAACAAGTTTTCTATCCATTTGTGTTTCAGAGAACATAAATTAAAAAAAAAATTTAATTTCGCAAAGGTTGGCATACACTCCCTTCGTCCTTGTTTTATTTCCATCACAAAAATATTATATAGTACTATAAATTAATGAATTTCCTGTTACCCATAGGCCACAACTTACAAGCCAGATTGCCTTCTTATCATAGTGGAGAAATTCTTGTGGTGGGGTATATGCAAAAAATCTTAGTAATTATCAAATGACCAGTGCAGTTCCACTAGGCAAAGTAGTTATGCCTTTACTATTAACATTTTATTTTTTTTAATCTTTAAAGCAAACTTGATGTAATGACCAAAGTGCCACTGTTGACAAAAAAATTACCAAACTGTCACGCCAACAGTAAATTTTGCCAAAATGCTACGTGGCATATTTCGCTAAACTGTGTAGCGAAATATGTGTGCAAATAATTCGCTACACAGTATAGCGAAATATGCCACGTCAGAATCAAAAAATGCCATGTGTCAAAATTGTTGAAATTCGCTACCCTATGTAGCGAAATTCAACAATTCTACACATGAGACTTTTTTATTGTGAGCATTTTGACGTGACATATTTCGCTATATTGTGTAACGAATTACGTGCAAACATATTTCGCTACACAGTGTAGCGAAATATGCCACGTGGTATTTTGACAAAATTTATTGTTGGCGTAACAGTTTGGTAATTTTTTTTGCGAACAGTGACAAAATAGTTACTGTTCCTGATAGCTGACATGCTGATGAGATATGAGCTTGATATCGCATTTGAAGCTGAGAGAAATATTTATTGAAGTTCAGCTCACTGAAATCGCTTACGGTGATAAAAAAAGGGAGAAAAAGTAAGAAATAAAGGAGAAACCTGCTTACTTTTAGAAAATCTTTTATCTTCTGTATGAAAAGCATTTTTTGGATGTCGTTTACGAATCACATTAATACCTTTGCAATGTGAAGTGGAAAGGGACAACAACTAGCGAATCAATGGGTTGGGTATGATCAACAAGACAAATCATACATACTACTTTGATTTGATTATCAAATATGAGGTGTAAGGTGCATGTGTATCACTTTAGTTAAACAACTTAATTAGGTATTTTCCTTTCATAACCTAATTTGATAAGGTCCTCTATAATACCATAAAACCGAAGAAATAAATTTTGTTTTAATTCATTTCCAAGTGAGTGTCATTGTTAGGGGTGGTGGATATAATTTAATTTATTTATGAACAGTAAATGGCATATCATCGAGAAAATATTATTGCTTATGTAATTCTTATAAGGGTTCGCTTTTTTTACGGTCAATGTAAATAATTTATCTACATTGAGCCCAAAATGACGTTGTTTTGAGGGAAAAATCAAGGTATTTTTGTAATTATACTTTATTTCAGGGTTATAATAGTGTTTTCCATTATAATTTTCTAATTTTTCAACTCAAAACGACGTCGTTTTAGGAGCGAATGTAAATAACTTATCTACATTTATAATAACCCTCATTAGTAGTTATGGATTTAGTATTGAAGAATAATCAGAAGTAAAAGAAATAAAGTCACCTTTGGTGAAAAATGAGTTAAAATGACAGTTAAGAGGTAAAAATACGGGTAAATAAAGTTATCCAAAAAGTGAAAGTAAAAATAGAAATATGACTAGAAAAATATTCTAGTCCATTGGGTAAAGTTTGGTTATGAATGGATGTGTGTAGATAGATAAACCTTTACCCAGTTGGATTTAAGTTGACCTATATAAGTGAAATTTCAAAAAAAGTTACTATTCCTTCTTATTTTCTTCTCGCGGACGACCGTGAGGGAGGAAGAGAATGAGATTTTGAAATCCAATCTTCCAAGGCTCATAACTTGAGCTAGAAAACTCCAAATCACTCTGTTCCAAAGCCAAACTTATGAGATATTTCGAGAGGAATCCATTGGTACCAGTATTTCTGGGTGGGTTTCATTGTAGAGAGAGATCCTCCTCCTCCAAGATTTCGGATTTCATGGATAATGGGGATTTTGATGGAGCTTGAAGCCATGGGAGCTTGAAGTAAGCCTTCCCCTTCGTTCTAGGTAAGTTTATGTTGAGAAATCTTGGTTTTCTTTTAGTTTTGAGGAAGATTGAATTTAGGTTTTCATTTTAAAAATTTGGTTTGATTGAGCATGTTAGAGCTTGATTCAGGTTTAGCTCATGTTGAGAAAAGTGTTTGGATAAGAATTTTAACGGTGAAAATGTATTTGGAAAAATTAAAGATACCGTATTTTTGAATAGTGTCGTATACGTGAATAGTGACGTATACATGAATAGTACTGTAGAGATGAACAGTATCGTATAAATGAATTAATGAATCTTGGATTAGAGGTGTGCGATAAGCTTGAATTTGATGGACTAAAGCATTGGAATCATGAAGTTGGCATGATTTCCTTTATGTGTCTCTTAGCCATTTTCAAAGGAAGTATGTGCTATAAGTTACTGTTTTATAAAGCAAACATACTTTTATGCGTGGAATGATATTCTAAGGTGTATGGACCTTCGCTTTGGTGAAAAAAAGAAAAGAAAAGAAGGTAGCTCCTTGTATGGCCTTAAAATGAGTTTTGGCCATTTTCAAAGGAGGTATATGTTCGGAGATATTGTTTCGCAAAGTGAGAACACTTATATGCGTAAAATAATTTATATAGGTGGTTAAGCTTGGGTTTAGGCACTAGACAAAGAGAAATCTTATAGCTCCTTTGTAATGAGCATTCTGCTTTAAATTGGGAAAAATAGGCTTTTAGGTGTTAAGAAGAGTAATGAGTGTTCTAAAGGCCTTTTGGGACTATCCTAAGACTAAGTGAATATGTGGAATTTTGTGGGGATTTGTTAAACAAAGAACCACCCACTAATGACGTAATATGATTAAGTAAAAAGAAAATAAACAATAAAGTGTGTGTCTTGTAGATTTACATGGCATTATATCATTTTATTGAGTTTTGTGTTGAATTCCTTCTTTAGGTGTGCCTAGGGACTGTGAACGTTTGGATTCTCGTGGAGCAAGATAAGTAGCTTGTTCTTCAAGTAAGCAATTGTAAAGGTCCGAGAGGTAAGCTCTATGTTTAAGGAGTCTTTTCCTACTTGAGTGCTCCACCATAGTTAGTGGACTATGGTTGGACTGTATGACTGTATTGATATTCTGTATAGGTGCATTCATATAGAGTTATTTGATGATATGATATGATTTCTGTATTGATTTCTGGTACACTGATGTCTTCTTGGGGTTTTCCTGAGATTGACAATGTACACCTCTGAGATACTCTGGTTCCGCTTGGGGTCATCCCTTGGGAACACGTGCGTTGATTTCCGCTTGGGGTCATCCCTTGGGAATGACGGCGCACGCCTCTGATATGATTTCTGCATTGACGAATGGTACACTGATGTCTTCTTGGGGTCTCCCTGAGATTGATGATGTACACCTTTGATATGTCTGGTTCCGCTTTGGGGTCCTCCCTCGGGAACACGTGCGTTGATTTTCGCTTGGGGTCCTCCCTTGGGAATGACGGCGCACGCCTCTGATATGATATGGATATATGCTTTGTTCTGTTATGATGTAAAACGTGCGCTGATTTCCGCTTGGGGTCCTCCCTTGGGAATGACGACGCATACCTCTGATATGACTTGAATACATGTTTGTTCTGATTCGATATCTGTTATATTGAATACCTGTTTTGTTCTGTTCCGATATCTGTTATATATGCATTGTATACTCTGTATCTGACTTTCATGCAGGAGTGAGTCAGGGGTATGGAGAACTCTCTATAAACCTGGAGCTTATTGAGATTTGTAATCTCACCCCTCTTTGGGGACATATTTTCAGGTGCCCAGATTTTTCGTGAGACCTCACTAGACAGGGACGCGAACCGTGGTTGAGGCGTTGGGGACTGATCAGTTTTTGAGTAGCTGTAGGCTACTACCCCTTTTGGAGTGCATGTATATTATTTCGTATCTCCGCATTTGATGGATCATGATGTTGAATCCATTTACTTGGTATATGGCCTGTATATGTCTTGTACATGTTCTTCAGTTTGATGCATGTACATTTTTGTATTCAAGCATGTTGATATGACCATGTAGTATTCAGTTATGCTTATGTATTGGATTGCATGCTGTTAGATTAGTGGCACAAAGCCAAGTTCTGCATGCGCCCATGGATGGGTATTTGATTATATTTGCATGACTGATACTTCTGGATATAAACACTGTTGAAACTGTTTATCAGGAACTCTTGGGAGTGGGATTGGAAAATCCCTAGTTGTCCGATTTATAGAGGTTACTCTGTCCGATTTTCGGCTATGCTTAATAAGAAGTTAAAAAGAAAAAGAAAAAGTCAGCTCGTATTTCCGCAAGTTATGTCTTCCGCTGTTTCTGTTTATATCATATGCATGTTAATTGAACCGGCTCGAGACGGGGATGTTACAACATTCACTATAAAAAACATTAAAGCCTTCTTATAATACTAAAAAAGGTTTTGCTTCCTTAAAATAAGAGGTGTTATTTAGAAGAAGAAAAAATTATAATTATTAATTGAAAAAATTGTTTGTCATTTTAAATGACATAAAGTTATGTCATTTCAATAGAGAGATAGACACAAAATAAAAAAAATTATTTAAAATTTAAATTAAAAAAACCACTCACTTTCTCTCCTATGATTTTCATTCTTTGTGTCTATCTCTCTCTTAAAGTGACATAACTTGTGTCATTTAAAACGACAAACATCGAACCCTTATTAATTAAAAAAAAAGAGAGGGATAAATTATGATGAAATATATGTATATTTAGAAGGGGAATGATCCGTTTATAAAATTTTTTCACAAATTTTTATAAATTACACTATATACAACATAGTATAATTTATAAGAGTTTATAAACAAAAAAATTTATAAATATAACCATCTCTTGTTTACAATCATATTCTTAAAAAAATTGTACAAAACCTGTGTGTGAGACGGATCGGATGGCTGTAGGGCATTTAAGGGATCTTTAAGAAGGACCCCCGTACCATTTGTTTCCTAAAATCCTTTTCTTTATGGTATAAATCATGGTTGTGGAATAAATATCTTCACTTGTTCATGTTAGTCAAAGACCACTATCAACTAGGTACTTTCTTCTTTATTACTCTTTCCTTTTGATTTTTAATGCACTGCTGAGTTTTCTCTTTTATTGAAAATGTAACAGCCTTAGCAAATTGACATATCGATAGTGTTTTTTAAACCAAGTACGGAAAAAAAAAATATATATTATAGAATCCTAGTTTCAGTAGTTTTCTGTTGTCAATGCGGTTTTCATGACTTGTTTGCATGAAGAAAATAACGATATTAATAGTTAGTGAGTTTGTCAAATATTCATTCCATTTGAGGTCTATTGTGGACTAATCAATATTGGTGGTTGCAGATTCTATCAAGCCGGCGAGTTATAGATTGGCTTTCTTTTCTCTTGGGTTCGGTTTCACTTCTGCCTTATGATAGAAGTTCATTTATCAGATCAAGTTTTGCTTATAAGTGGCATAAAATATATGTATTCTTCCATTATTATTTAGAAAATTTTCATTTCATTTGGATGATCATATAGATAGCAGAGCATAAACTATGAGCAAACTTGTCAATGTTGCTATTTCTGATGTGGTGGCTTTATTCAATTTCCAGCAATAAAACAAGCTTCGAGTTTTTTAATCACTTACATTTTATATAGGGGAACACGTCTTAATTTCCCGCTTTTTTTCTCTTTTTCGTCGACATTATTTTGTTTAATTCTCCAATTTGAGATATGATTTTTTTTATTTACAAGACTTCTAGTATATGAGCACTTCATCAACTCAACTAGTCATTACGAAAAGGATGGGCATATATGAGCCATTCCATCAAGTTACTACTAAAAAAGTCCAATTTTTGGACGGAAAAATTCTGTCGAATTTTCCTTCGTGGGTAACTCATTTTTCGACGAAATTCAAGATTACGTCGAAATTTTTTGACGAAAATTATTTCTGTAAAAAAAATTTGACGGAATTTATTTTCGTCAAAAAATTTCGATGGAATTTATTTTCGTGGAAATTTTTTGACGGAAAATCATTGAAATTCCGTCGAAAATTGTTGTGATGGTTTTCGATGGAAAATGGATTCTGTTGAAATTTTTTGACGAAAAATCAATGAAATTTCGTCGAAAACTGATGTAAATTTTTTTGACAGAAAACAAATTCCGTCAAAAATTTGCAACAAAAAATCAATGGAATTCCGTCGAAAATTGTTGGGATGATTTTCGACGAAAAATAATTCCGTCGAAAATTTTTAACGAAAAATCAATAAATTTCTTTCGAAAACTGATGTAAATTATTTTGTCAAAAAACAAATTTCGTCGAAATTTTTTACAATTTTTTTTAAAAAATTCCCTCTACAAAATTAATACCAATTTTCTATAACGCACTTGATAAAAAAATATAATCAAATTAAATAACATACATTAAATAAACAAATGTTCATATCATGATATTAGGCTAAGTATTTAAAAAAGATTAATACAATTATAGAGTGGTGTAATTGTAACCTTAAAAAATTAATAAATAAAAATTAACAAATGAATGCACAATACAAAACTGAGTTCAGAATTTTTGGACATGTGTAACATGAATAAAAATTAGAACTGGTTTATTTGTGGTGTAGTCTTCCAATTGCTTATCCAAAGAATCCAAAATTAAATTCTGTATAAGCCTCCTTGGACATGTCTAGAAACTTGGTAGGTAAAATATTCCCATAGGCTACCGCAATGCATAGGTGTGGTTGCAAAACTTTAAAATTTGACAAGTATCCTGTATGAAGAAAATAGAATAGAAGAGATTTGATGTCAGTGAGTGAGAGCCTCTTTAAAACAAATAACTCCCTGAGAAAAAAGACACCAAATTACATATCATATATCAAGCCTGCAGCAATCAAAACATAAAAAACAAGAGACAAAAAAGGGGGGATTTTATTAGACTCACAATCCCCGAATCTATGCATAATCTCACCCCGAACAAATGAAGACATAGATTAGCAAGATAAAAACTTTAAGCATCCCATGAAACAAGGAAAGAAAATCAAGCCAAACCCAAATAAAAAATAATAATTATTCCCAAACAACTACATATAATTAATTCACACAACGGGAACACAAGCTGTCGCACACAAAGAAAGAGCATACATACAAACATATATATATATTGATGATGGATTCGGCTAGGAAAGGAAAATTATGCAGGCATGATTACTCTAATGATTAAGGCAAACGTGAGTATATATATATATATATATATATATATATATAAGGCAATCTATAAGGTTACGTAGTATATATATAAGGTTTAGAATTACACAGAGTATGACTGGTCATACTCTGTGTAAGTCACTAAAAGACTAAAAGGATACAACTTGTGTCCTTTTGAATGACACACACTAAATCCTATTATATATCACTTTCTTCTTGTGTTTTTAGATGCACTTGAAGAAATTGAACTATGGTTTCTGTCCTCAAAATGCATATATCTCTTGTTTCATGCAATGACTTTCTTTCCAGCATTTAGGGGTTATTCCTATTTCCTAATATGCCTCTACAGCTCATGTTCCTGTATGAAATATAGATTTTCCTTAGCAGACAACAGGTCTAAATGAATTTAATAGAAAGGCATTAGTCAGTCAATGAAATTTTTTATCTATTTTACTGCAAGTCAAGTTTGCTTAGCTAAACTTCTCAATCTCCGGTCCGGTGGAAGATGTTTATTGCTAGAAAACCGATCCATTTTGCCCCATTCATTTTTCTGTCATGGCCCTTGTTGAACTGCAAGTTACTTTCATGACATGACTAGTTTTAATTTTGTAAGAATTGTCAGATTTCATTAATTTTGTGATTACTTACTAATTTTTCTCACTGTATGAAGCATTGTGCTTATACCTTGTGGCATTTTTCTCCTGTTCTATGAAGCAGGGATGGCTGTGTTTGAAATTGAATATGGACAATGGGTTGAAGAATAGAATAGACAGAATGAAGAAATAAGAAATGCATTGCCAAAACATGCATCTGATATACAACTTCATCTACTTGTTGACAGTAGCTTGAACCACTACTCAAATCTTTTCAGGATGAAAGCAGATGTTGCAAAGGCTGATATTTTTTATTTAATCTCTGGTGCGTGGAAAGCATCAATAGAACGCCTTTCTCTTTGGATTGGAGGATCTCGCCCGTCACAGCTTCTAAATGTACATCCACATTCTATTATCTTGTTTTTCTGTTCATTGATTGTGCAAAACAGGAGTTCTTCTATATCATATTTCTTATTTCCTCGTGTTGGAATCTATTTAAATTTTGTTATTTATTAAATTCTTGATAATTCTTTAGTAATGGTTTCCTGAAGCTTTTAATATAATAGAGAAACTACTATCACTCATAATTGTGTGTGGCATATCTACATGTGGAAGTGTGAGGATTGAATTGGAGTCTCATTTTAAAATATATACATTTCAATCATACTAGTGATTCTTGGATGCATAACTATAGTTATACTGTATTTATAATATGATGCAATCTAGTTTCTATTGAGAACAAAATATATTTTCTATCTGATATTCTGAACTCTGGTACTACAATAATATTTTCTTCTTATGGATATATTACATGGGCTGGTTGCTGACAAGACAAGTACTATTTGTCAATTTTCATGACACACATTTTGCATGTTGTTAAAGGGTTTTATAAGAGTTATGTTATAGGAAAAATGATTGTGTTATGTTATAGAGATTCCTTTTGCGTACCGTAGTTTTTTTTTTCTTCAAAACATGCGGGTCCCACAAAATGTTGTGTGTGTAGAAAACTTTTTGTGGTCATGTTAAATGATGAATGCAAACCCTATTGTTAAAACATCATACCGTGGAAACCTCAATAACCTTGTACAAACTACTTGACCTTTCCTTACAGATCATAGTACCACAGCTTGAGCTTTTGACTGATGAACAAATTGTTAGCATTAATAGCCTCCGACTATTGTCTCAGCAAGCTGAAGATGCTCTTTCACTAGGATTGGATAAACTCCAGCAGAGTCTAGTCAACAACATAGCATCTGATCCATTAGTTGTATGAAACTACGAGTTTCTGATGGCTATTGTCGTGGACAAAAGTGAAGCACTAGAAAGTTTTGTAAACCAGGTAATGTAACATCAGATATTGGGCCTGTCTGGAGTTTTTTCTTATTCAGTCATAATATGAGAAACCTGTTGGATTCATTGGAGTCTACAGTCAATAAAAGTCTTTTGCAAATTGCAATAGAACTAGATATCTATCTATATACATTTTTAATTCTTCTCTAGTTAATAACCTCATTTGAGACACCAATTAATTCATATAAGAAAGGTCTAGTGATAATCAATAATCATATGTTAAAATACTGAAATTATGGTGTATAAGATGGATAGAGTAATATACTGAAAATTTCTGCAATTAATGCAGATAAGTTATCTGCATTTACTCTCAAAACGACGTCATTTTGGAAGTAAATGATTAGAAAATTATAATTATAAAGACTATAATAACCCTAAAATAAATTAAAATTACAAAAACACCATGATTTCCGCCCCAAAACGACGTTGTATTGGGCTTACTGCAGATAGCTTATCTGCATTAACTGCAAAAAAAGCTAACTCTAATAATATATACTAAATCATCAACTATGCTTATTATCCATATTATTAGACTTGTGATGCTACTAATTTGTTATTGCTAATGTGTGTAACAATGTTAAAACCAATAACTCAAGAGGCTTTCCCTTCTCCACAGGCAGATCACCTTAGGTAACAAACTCTGCTACACATGTCTCGCATTCTGACAACTGGACAAGCTGCACAAGGGTTGTTAGCTATGGGGGAATACTTTCACCGTCTTCGCACACTTAGTTCTTTATGGACTGCTCGTCCATGTGATCCTGATTCATCTGCTCCACACTCAAATTGAGACCTCTTTGAACATCAACTTCTATGTGGTTTACACAACAGTTGCTGATTTTCTTTTGGTTCAATATGTTCATAAATATGCTAGTTAATGCTGCCTAATGTCATGAAGCAAAGTTTATAAACCTTGTACCTTTCATATGAAACTGTGGAATTAATTCCCCTCTTTAGTGTCTCCTGAAAAATAAAAAAGAAGAGAAATTAAATTATTTTGTGATTGGGAAAAAAAATTGTCACGATAAAAATTAATATAGTCCAAAATGAATCAAAAATACCAAAAATAAAATAAAATTGCCCTAACCTCAAAACAAATTATTTTGGGGTCACCAGAAATAAATTATCTCATTTGAGGGGAGAAATAATAAAGGAATGGTTATATTGTCTATATGTTAAAATAATGAAAGTATGGTTATATTGTCTATCTATTTAATCTTCTTATCTTTACTACATTTTTATCACTGTTGATTTAAATATAATCAACGGTGATAAAATAATAATAAGAATAGGAAGATTATATAAGTAAACAATATAACCATCCCCAAATAATAACCCATATTAAATAATTAATTAAATATAAATAAAGAAAATAGACCAAAATATCTAATACTACTTGAGAAAAATAAAATTCATAAATATTTATATAAATGTCTTAATTATTTTTTTATTATTTTTGAAAGAAAATAAATCTACTTTACAGTTTTTTTTATTTTTTAATAAGGGTGATCACAACTTGAGTTAAGTAGTTTTGGAGTAAAATTACAAACCAAATCAATTAAATTTAATCAGTTTACATTGGGTTGAATGGAGTTGAGAGAATTTTTCTTTTTTCTTTTTTCTTTTTTTTATATAAGACTTAGAGAAATTTCTTTTAATAATCTACATGGCTCTGTTCTTTTAATAAATTACATTGAATTACATTCTGCTCTTCATGGCTCGATTCTGCGGGTTCGTGCAGGACCCAGTTCTGGTTTGATGTGAATCCAACTAAGCTGAACAAAATAGAACGCTGCAAGGCCCATCATAATTACAATGCAATTTTTATAAAAAAAAAGTATGTGGTAAAGGCCCACTAATTAAAATTGGAATTTCAAAATAGAAGGCGGACAACAAGGGTATTGAACCCGACGTGAATAGACGCGCTACCATTGCCCCACGCCCCCACGGATCCGCATATGTATATAGAAAGTAAAAAAAAATAGCTAAAAACAATGTACCAAAAAAAAAAAATAGCCGGCTCAAAGGGTGAAGCTCAGTTGGTAACTTGGCGCTGAGTTAGTGGGGTTGGATATGTGTTCGATTCCCGCTGAATGCATTCTTGGGGAGGGGGCTGAACCTTTAGCCATCACTGTTCCCCCGCACTCCGGATTAATCTCATAGCCGGCTCAAAGAGTCGAAGCTCGTGGGGATACCGGAGGGAGCCAACTCGTCTCAAAGAGATAATTAGGGTTGGGTAACTCCAAAAAAAAAAAAAAATAGCTAAAAACAAATAAATTCACCCTAGCTCAACTAATTCTTGAAACTAGATGATTTTTCCAGGAAAACCAATGACGACGGGAAATCCAAACGCCATGACTGGGTGATTGGTACGAGGTTTCTTTTAGGATGACTGAGAAAATTTATATGTGTTTCCTAGTTGACCATGTTTGGTATGAGGTTTTAAAAATTTTGCATAGCAATCTTAGTTTGTGTGTAGAATTGAAAAAAATTGTCATTTTAGAATATTACCCCATCAAACCAATAGGAAAAAAAAGCAATGGACACAAATATCCCTTCTCAAAAAACATGCCAAAAGAAAGCTGGAAAGAAAGTCTTATTTATATTTAGTCAAGGGTTAATTTGTTAATTTCATCCCTTTGTTACTTGTGATACGTGTACTTACATATTTGTGTAATTATTATTTGATTATAAATTGCACAAGAAGCATATAGTCATATGAGTAATAACGCATCTTGTCCCATATGCGATATCCCTTGGAAGATTGCTTCCATGTTTTCAGAGAATGTTTTCGGCCCGTCAAGTTTAGTAGACCTTAGTTAGTAGGAGTGAATATGAGAACTTCTTCAATGGAGACATGAAGAGTTGGTTAGAAACAACTCTCGTAAAGAGAATTGGAGGATGCAATTGGGAGTAGTTTGCTGGATGATATGAAAAAAATAAAATAATAATAATACAATGTTTAATGGTAGTAAAACTGCATCCTCATCTTTACCAAAAAAAAAAAAAAAACTGCATCCTCATCATGTTTTAAGAAATAAATAAATAAATAAATCATCATTTCTTCATACAAGGTAGTTTAGATTTAGTGCATTTAATAAAGCAAATAAAAAAAATTAACATAAAGGGAAAGTGATGCGTTGTAACAATATGTTGAGATAGGGACAATGTCACTAAACAACAATTTTTATATAAGTATTTATTCAGACTGATTCAGTCATTCAAGTTAAGCTAGCATGAGCTAGATTAGTTTGGAGCTTATGCAGCTATTTGTTAGTAAACATGGATTATGGATTTGGAGGGAAATTTGACTAATATACATTTTAAATATATTAAATCTAGCTATTTATTTTTAAGAAATAGTTTATGTATTAGAATATAAACATGGTTCGATATTTTCTAAAATTCATAAACAGTACACTAAAGTGATGTTGCACAACTTCCTTAACTTGCGCAACATAAATGCCAGTCTTAGAACCACATAATTTTCTTTCGCTCTTCTATACTCGTGAAAAAGTAACTTACTAGTTAAAACTACATACAGGTTTGCACATAAGCACTGGGTTTTGAACCGGTCAACAAGACCTCCTCACAGGATCCAGACCGGGCACTATATAATATGATCCCATTATCTTCAATTCAAATAATGAAAACGAGAATCAAATCCGCACAATTTTTTTGTTATATTTGATCAAATTTTCAAATCCATACAAAGTAAATAAACTTTTTTACTTTTAAAACAATATCCTTTATAAATCAAATAAATTAATTAAGTTAGTGATTGTGAACACACTCAACTTAATAAAAACTAAACAGTAAATAAAAAGCATCCCTACTCCAGTTTTTCTGCTCAATGAGAACCAATCAAACAACGTGCATATGTCACTTAAAGATCATCGCTAAGAATCACATATAGTTACCTCCTGTAAAGAGTGCTAAACGATTCATGTCAGCTCCATCCAAGTTTTCCCATCAGATATTAAGGATCTTAATATCTCCACCCAGACTATGTCAACAAAGAAACAGTAAGGTAAACTGAAATGACTTACGACAATATCCTTTTGCTTCAACTTTCGGACGATTTAAATACATTTAAGGAGCACCATTGCAATATATATATATATATATATATATATATATATATATAACTTACGATCTACAATAAAATTGTCATCCCTGAATTTTAGGATATTTAAATCTTTGGTGGCGTACTAATCAGCAATCCTTTGAAGCTTCACCTTTTCTTCATCCAAAGAGCTTCCTTTTCTTCAATAATTTAGTAGAATTTTGAAATCCATTTTGTTCACTAAATTGAGCAGCTGTGCGAGCCCTTAGTTCTTCCAAACTATCACCTTCTTTCGCGCGCTCTATCACCTGAAAATAATAAGGACCATTAATTTCAAATATTAACAGACCTTTCGAAACCACATAAAAACAAGAGGGAGGAAGGGCTGCAAAGGGGATTCACTAAATAGAATTTCTCAAATCCATAATTTAGTTTCACTTACCGGACGCCTGCCATACAGGTGGGTTTTTGAGAGTGCATCAAGAGCAGTTTGTGCCTCCTGCTGAGTAACATAATCTACGAAAGCAAAGCCTCTATGACTTCCAAACTTCTTTGGCAACCTTAAGCTTTTAATCTGCGCGGTTTTGAGCCATCAAACATGAGTGAAAAGCAAGCAGAGCATATTTGCACAAAGAGAACTAAACCTACATATTTTGGCTGAAATGGACCAATAGTTTCCTGACAGCTGAGGCATACAACTCCCCCCAAAACAAAACCAATCAAAAAGATTAAAAATAATAAAAAATGAAAGTAAAGTAAAATAAAAAATATATATAGGTACATCAATTATTAGAGGGCAAGAACTTAACATTTTAGAAAAGAAGAAACCACTAGAAATTTAGCTAAAATAAGTTAATAAATAAAGAATGAAATAGCTCAAGGTCATACAACTCATTTAAGATTATTTTAATTTTAGATATAATCCAAAGGGACAAAGATGGCAAGCCTAGAACAATGATAAAGTTGTTCTATTGTGATTGAAAGGTCACAAGTTTGAATTTAGGAAACAGTCATTTTTCAAATATAAAAGGTAAGAGTGTATACAACAAGAATTGCTATTCCCTACCCGCATTAGTCGAGGTTTAATGGAAAGTGGTAAGTGGTTTAATTTATATAATCCATCAGGTTCATTAATTTAATTTCAGTCTTAATTTTCAAATCTCATTTCGATAATGTAAGATGTAACCAAAATCATTTGGATTTCACATTCGAGGCAAGTGAACAAATCATTTGGAATTCCAGGCCCATCATTCTGGAGCCATTATTAATATAATTGCACTTTGCCATCTAAACATCAGTATGGAACTCAAAATCATTTGGATGTGTCGATATAGAGGTTCCTGATTGCAAACACCTTAAAAGTGGTTCAGCAACAACCATATGGCATAATATGCACTGCATTCATTCAACTCAACACTCAGATATAATTTCAAAACATTTCCATTGGATGGATCGACCACAGATTTAAGTTAGTATACTTCCCTTAGAATGTGTCACTAGTCACTACTTGTAATATATGCTTTCAGTTATAACTCGGACAGGACTTCCTTAGCGATTGGTGCAAACTATCATTTTTAATAGTAATCACCTGGCCAAACGGGCTAAACAACTGTCTCAGGTCCTTCTTAGTTGCCTCAAAAGCAACATTTCTTACAAGCAATTTTGTAGAACTCTTATCCTTCTCAACTGTCTTTCGTACTTGCCCGTCATTCTTGACATGACAAAGTTGTAAAGTAAGAGCATGCCCATCCAAAACAGTCCCCTAAACACAAATAAAAAAAATAAAATAAAAACAGAGCTAGAATTAAGATCTTAAAATGCATATAACATGCATAGTTTGATTCAAATGTGTGTATACCTGTAAATCTCTACAAACATTTGTAGCTGTCTCGGTGGAGTCAAACTCAAGAAATCCAAATCCCGTAGAAATTTTTTCCCCATTTTTCAAGTGCTTCTGCACCTATTTAGGACAGCAAAATAAAACTATAAAAAAACAGCAAAGTCATAAAGCGTAAGGTGTTAGCGCTGAAGCCCATTTACCTTGAAACTCAAAATTCTTCCTCCTTTCATGTGTTCAGTAAAATGCTTCCTCAGACTCTCATCTGTTGTCTTGAAACTCAGGTTCTTGACATATAGGGACCGAGGCTGAAGCATGATAGGTTAATCAACAATAGAAGAACAAGCATTATGAATTAGTTAGCAGCCACTAATCTCAAAATTAATATTGGCTTGTAAACAAAATAATCTGATAGAAAACTACTCTTCTAATTTTATTTTTATTTTTTTCTCCGATCACCTTGTCCTCGGAGTACGGCCCAAAGGCTACCCCCCTCATGGGAACAGCAGGTGCATTGAGCTTCGCCAACGGATGAAGGATGAGACTAATCCTCCCTTCGAGGAGAGAGGCACATTCTCTGGCCCCCAAAGATTCTCCAAGAATTTGCTTGAGACAAGGTTTGAACCCCAGACCCAAGCAAATCCTTGGAAGCTCAGTTGCCAACTGAGCTACCCTTGGGGGTTTCTAATTTTGTGTGTATATATATATATATATATATATATATATATATAGGGTAATCAATTCTCCTGTCACAGGATAATTGATCCCATTCCTACAGAGAGATCCAATTATAGGACCCCACCAGTTTTGCTTTTTTTTTTTTATAAAAGAAAAAAGTGTTGCAATTTTTTATTACCACTTATAAGGAGAATAGACTTCTTCCTGTAATAGGAAAAGCTATTCTCCCTATATGTATATATGTTAGAATATAGGAAATATTAGATATGATTAGATTTGAAAAGATTCCTTCTCACTTAAATATAGGAAATGTGTTGTGTATTAGCTTAATACACAACACATTATTTTATATTCAAGTTGGTACCAGAGCTCTTTTGTTCCGGAGACCCTTGCTTTCGCTTAAAACCTTATTTTCGCTTTAAAACCTAAGCCCACTGTTTAGGAGTCCTCTTTTCTTTGTCGTGCGTCCTTCTAGCAAGCCATCTAGGGCTGTAAGCCCCTTTTAAGTGATTTTCGAACGCATCAGCACCTCCGAACGCCACCGGAACAACCGTCCGTCACTGTTTCGGCCGCCAGAGAAGTTTTCCGGCGAGTTTTCAGCCCAGACCACCTGCGATCAGGACCCTCTCCTCCCGGCAACCAGTTCTGTGGAGGTCCGACCACCGTCGCGTCAGCCACGCGCCACCCGTCTCCTCTGCGCGTGGTGCTCACGCGCCACCTTCAACCGGTGCGTGTGCACTGTTCCGGCAGCTTTTTCCGGTTGTTCTTGGACAGAGAAGCTCGCCTCCTCCTCCTCTTTCCAGATCTGTGGTTGGTTCTTTGTGGGTCTCACTTTTTGTGCGTACCTCTTCTTGATTTGCGATCAGGTTAGTTTCTATTCGCTTGGTTGTTTATCCTTGTGATTTATTATAATGGAAGCATCTTCTCCTACTCTCTCGGAGACCAGTTCTCCCTCTCGTCCTGCCAAAAGTTCCCCTAATGTCATCTCCATCAATTTTGGGCTCATTACCTCTTCAAAGCTGAAGGGTTCTGTTAATTACAATAATTGGGCTACCTCTGTTAGAGTTTGGTTCTTTGGACAGGGACATGGAAACCATCTCCCAGCTAAATCTACTGATGTTCCGAAGGAAGAAAAATCTGATTGGGAAAGGATTGACAACCAACTTCTGAGTATCCTTTGGCAGTCTATTGATCCAATCGTCTTGGATATTTTCTATTTTTTTCAAACCTGCAATGACGTGTGGGAGGAAGCAAAACACCTCTACACGAATGATGTTCAGCAGCTCTATTCCATCATGTCTTAGTTTATGGATCTGCGCAAATCATCTGACACTCAGATGGAGACATATGTTGGCAAAAGTCGATCTCTTATGCAGGCATATTAAGATATGTTGCCCTACCCTACTGATGCTTCTGCATATCGAAAACAGGTGGAACATCTTTTTATGGTTGCCACGCTTTCTGGTCTCCCCGAAGAATATGATAATGTCCGGGATACTATCTTGACTAGTGGGGATCCTGATCTATCAATGACGTATCAGCGTCTTCTAAATCTTAATAAGAAATCTGCTCCTGCATCGTCCGCTGTTGTTGATTCCACTGCTCTAGTTTCCCGTACTGACTTTCGCGGGAACATTGGAGGTGGTCGTGGTCGTGGAAGAGGCCAGGAAGGACGTGGCCCAGGAGGACGTGGTCAGCGACCTCGTTGTCATTATTGTCAGCAACTCGGTCATTATGAGGAATGTTGCTACACAAAGTATCCTCACCTGCGACCTTCTCATGCTTCTAATATAGCTCAATCAGATACTGCTTCAACTGGTACAGTCTCTCTCTCCTCTGAAGACTATGCAGCACTCCAGACAGGCCTCTGCTTCAGGAAGGCCTCTGCATCACTTGGTCCAGTCTCGGCCTCTGCTTCATATAGAAACTGGTAATCCTGTTGCTTGTGACATTTCTAGCATTCTGACATCCCTTATAACATCACTTGGTCCTTGGATAT